ACAAGTTTAATATTGTTGCCCCTTGTGTATCTTCACTGTGATGTAACTTGATTGTACAATGCAATTAAAAGCCTAAAAGAAAGGAGAGCCATAATAAGTTTGACAATAAAAAGCAACAGTGAGGCAAGAGGTATGTGATTCAACCTTCAAAAGGTAATCTTATACATTCTAATACTTGTATTTTGGAATTAGGTTAAAATAACCCAAATTTTTAATAAGATCTTTTAAAGTCCGTTGTTTGAAATTGTGTACAAGTATTCTAAATATATATCAAGGACTTACATATTAATGGCTTCAAAAACAAACATCCTTCACTTTTTGACAGGCTTATCTTTGTGATAAATACGATTGCTCTATAATGACCACTTACTATTATTATTGTATTTTTAGTTACATAGTACCCCACACAGATATTTTGAGGTAAATCTTTTGCAATATCTGAACCATTAGATTTCGCCTGGATGAAACTACAGATTGGGCCAAAAGAACGCCACTTTTTTTCAAAATGCTATAACTTTTTGAATTTTTGATACAAAATCATAATTTGCATACCAAATGAAACTTGAGGTTGTTATCTAGCCATGGATGATGAATTATACACTTTTACTTGAATAAAATATGTCATCAGCGTCTCACTTAACATGTGGTGTACCATGAGAAATAAGCATAATTTGCAAAATGTTCCTGAACTGATACGCCCTGATGACCGCCAAGCTAATAGCCCTTATGCAAACCCCAGTGAGTATAGGGTATGGGAAGGTCTCCAGGAGATGGTATGAAGGCACCAATCTAAAAAATTGCTCAACTAAAGCTGGCAATTAAGACACATTGAAAAACAAGACACACAGTGATAAATATCGCACTTTGAAGAGCAAACTGGCCACCATGCAATTTACCCAGCATGGCCAAAACCTAATCAGACCTTGGCACTAGTCTGCTCTTGCATCTGTAAACATTTCAAGTTGACAAGGTTAGTGGTTTTCCTGCAATTTTGATGAGAAGAATTTATTTGTAGTCTTGAACTTTGGGAAAATTTAGATAACATTGTTTGTGACCTAATTTGATGACCTTCGACCTTGAAAATTTCACTTTTTCAGACCTCAGTAGGTCTTTTGTAATTAGCTGACCTAAATTTAAATCCAAAATTTCAATTTAGAAAATAAATTTTTTGACCTTTTCAAGGCCACTGAAGGTCAACGAAAGGTCAAATCTGAAATCTAAGGTCAGATTTGAACTTCTGAGAACATGTAGATGTTTTTAAAAAAAAAATTTGGTCAATTTAGAGCAAGTTGAAAAATTCAAAATGGCCGCCAAATTCAAAAATTCAAAATGGCCACCATGTAATTCAGCCAGCATACCCAAAACCTAATCAGATCTTGACAATAGTCTGTTCTTGCATCTGTAAAAATTTCAAGTTGATAGGATAAGTGGTTTTCCTGGAATTTTGATGACAAGATTTGTTGAAAAATTCAAAATGGCCACCACGTAGTTTACCCAACATGCCCTTAACCTAATCAGATCTTGGCACTAGTCTGCTATTGCATGTGTAAAAATTTCAAGTTGAACAGGTTAGCGGTTTTCTTGGAATTTTGATGACAAGAATTGATTTGTAGTCACAAACTTTGAGAAACTTGGATAACATCATTTGTGACCTAGTTTAATGACCTTGACTTTCGACCTTGAAAATTTCACTTTTTCAGACCTCAGTAGGTGTTTTGTAATTAAGCTGACCTAAATTTAAATCCAAAATATCAATTTAGAAAATCAACTTTTTTGACCTTTTCAAGGTCACTGAAGGTGAATGAAAGGTCAAATCTAAAATCTAAGGTCAGATTTGAACTTCTGAGAACTTGTAGATGTTTTTAAAAAAAAAATTTGGTCAATTTAGAGCAAGTTGAAAAATTCAAAATGGCCGCCAAATTCAAAAATTCAAAATGGCCACCATGTAATTCAGCCAGCATACCCAAAACCTAATCAGATCTTGGCAATAGTCTGCTCTTGCATCTGTAAAAATTTCAAGTTGATAGGATAAGTGGTTTTCCTGGAATTTTGATGACAAGATTTGTTGAAAAATTCAAAATGGCCGCCACATAGTTTACCCAGCATGCCCTTAACCTAATCAGATCTTGGTACTAGTCTGCTCTTGCATCTGTAAAAATTTCAAGTTGAACAGGTAAGCAGTTATCCTGGAAATTTGATGACAAGATTTGGTTTATGTCCCGCCCGCCCGCCCGCACGCCCGCACACCCAAACGCCCGCACGCCCGCCCAACAGCACAAGACGACGACAATATAGCACTTTTTCAAAGTGCGATAAAAATATAGCTAACATTTCATTGATACTGCTATATCAGCAAGGCGACTAAAACTAAAATCTATCATCAAATAGGGTGGCGGACCAATTGAACTCCTCTTTTAGATCAAATATAATCCAAGTTGAAGGACTTGTTACATTATATTATCACTCAGAACCCTTGGCACTATATAACGGCAAAATTTGGGGTATGTAGGTTGGAAAATAAAAAAGTTATAGTGTCTTGAAAAAAAGTGGCGTTTTTTTGGCCCACCCTGTACATATGTTTAAGTTTTAAAGTGCCCGATAAACTATAAAATGCGCATGCGTCCAGGTGTTGATAAACTATAAATAGCGAAAACCCAGGGTTTGTCACCACAAGGCAAGCCAGGACGTGTTGAGAGAACAGCTAGTGTTGATATTGAATTTACATGTAGCAAGATAAGTTTCCTTATTGAAATTACATATGGTTATTAGCAATACTTTGTAGGTGCTAAATAATAAAATATTTAGAGTATATATGAGAGAAATTGGTCATTTCGAACCTGTTGAAAAGTTTGTGGCTCTCGGCTACACCGGGGAATTTACTTCCATGAGTACACACATAAATGTGGGGTTCCCCAAGAGGTACGCGACAAGGTGACCTGGCATCAAATGTGCGACTAAATGCTACTATCGAGAAGATAAAATAACGAATACGACAATAAGTTATTGCATGTGACAATTCCGAGCCTTCATCTCACTGAAGTATTTTGAAGTAAAAATAGGATTTTTGTTTTGATACATGGATTCAGATGAACGTAACTTTATTCTGACAACTAATCAAAACTGAACAAAATTGATTGTACGTAACAGACAATTTATTGTTTTACAATATTTTGATTGGCTAAACGAATGAAACCAACAAATGATGACATGTAAAATGACAATTTTGAAATGTAAAATTTAAAAGTGACAAACACAACCTCCCTATCCACTCTTTGGGAGCCCTAGTAAATTAGTAATATGCACATGCAGCAGTGGTAGTGTACAGCTTATTATCACACTACGCTTTGCATTCTAAAGCCTGTTGTTTGTAATAACACTGTTCACTCATCAACGTATGTTTTGTGTGTGGGCAGTCAACGATAATCATTGTTTTATCCCGGTTATATGACCTCGGCAATTATAACAGAACCGTACTAAACGAAAAAACGCAAATAAGAGAAAGCTTTCACACACATATAAAAAATGAACTAGTCTAATCCGCCAGTATAAACTGCTATACGTAGCCGGGTCAGGCGCACACTTTAAGAGTTTCCCAACCCTCAAAACAATTATTTTGTTTGTTAAGCACTTCAAAATCAGAATATATTTAATATTTTATTTATTTATTTATATTTATTTATTTATTTATTCATGATATGTCACGTTGAACACAATTTTGGCATTCTAGCAAAGAAGTCGAAACTGTATGAAGTTTTTGTCAATCACTGTCATTAGCTTCTTTAACTTATGCTCATATCAAAATCGCTCCGGCAAAGAACAAATGGCGAAAGACACCTCTGGGGTCACTTAACATTTTTTGAAAAATGCATCATCTTTAATATCCTTGATATCTAGGATCAAATTGTAGTAATTGGTCTCAAGAGCACCCCCACCCCCTCCAAAAAGAAACAACAAAACATATCTAAACCTTGAGGCCCAGAGTATTGGACTAATCACTAGAGGTGTCACAGGTCAGATACTTCTTTGGTTTGGTCGAGGCAGAAAAAAGTGTACGGATTGGGAAATATTGGATCAGATCAGAAGAAACAGAAGAAAAATAGCAATAGCAAGAAATAGGTCAGCTAGAAGATTGAAATTTTTGCTGGGAATATAAGCATTTTGCAATTATATATGATATTCCTGAGTGTTCTGACCCGACCTTAATTGGTAATAAGTTGATTGGGACCCCACCCTTCCGACTCCAGATTCGGGTCATCTTGAGGTTTGTGTGACACCAGCATAATGATTCAATCATACAATTGCAGCCAAGAGTACTATTTGCAATATTTAATTAAACAAGATGAGAAGTTGCACGAGAATATTTTATAACATTTCAGTCAAGATGACACTGTTTGGGTTATCACCCCTCCTGCCATCTATCCCCTCGTCCTGCCCAAGAGGAGAAAACTTAAATGGCAGAGTCATAATCCTGATCCTAAATAATCCCAAAATGTTTTGAATTCATTATGATCTTAAACTTGCAGCATCAAGAGACTTTGTTGCCTTGGTTACCTGGGATCAGAATGGCAGATACATACCCTTTGCATTCGTTCGACTTCACTTCTTAAAAGAAAGTTCCGTCTTCACTCATTCAAACTAAAATAAACCTGTGAACTCACCGCGCCAATCAGTGCTCGTCGACCAAATTTGACCGACGTTCTACATATGGTCATTCCTTCTGACATCATCGTTAAGCCCGGAATTGACCAATGACAATTCAGAATTTATTTTGGCGCGTGTTTCTTCAAGCTCGCTGATTGGTGGAAGAAAGGTCAGGGCGTAGGTCAGAAGTGATTTATTACCCGAACTGTCATCGGCACCCATCGTGGGGGTGGGGGCGGGGCTACTAAACTGTAATATGGTTTCTATTAGGCAGTGTAGTTTAACTAGACTCTGCATGCAGGGTAGCAGATACAGGACCTGTTACATTTATTCTGTGGAAGAAAGCAACAAAAACTTACTGGAAGGGACTATTGTAGACACCTTGCTTGGACGTGTGGAAATGTTTGTAACGAGGCATATTCATCTTCTCATTTGTTGTCGCACCAACCCACATGATCTACAGACAGAATTTTTTAGTATTACGTGGCAGTAAAATTAGATTTTGATTTTATTACAAAGTTTCCGGTTATAATAAAAAACGTGGTATGATATACTCAAAATAAATGTGCATTTCAGTGTCTAATTTGAACAATTCTGTCTAATTTACTCTAAAATGTGTAGAAATGATCGCTAAATTTCACTAAATTAAGCATCATGAAATGCTCTGGTTTCAAACCAATTTTAAAGCATGGGATTCAAGAGGTCATCATGCATACTGAGCATAATGGCAGCATATTATTCAAGGTACACGATGGGTATACAATGTAAGGGCATATATAGATGACATATACCTGGTAAAGCTGGAATCCAAGAAGAGCTCCGATCCAGAATAAATGTAGACCTGTATTGAAGGCAATCCAGAACACCCATGGTGAGCAGGACATTATTTTGCCAAGTATAACCATATAGCTCTCATCAACAGAATGCGCCAAGCAGGTAAAATGCCAATCTATAAATAATTACCAGAAAAATAATTGTATCAAATTATCCTCAAAACCCATATGGTTCATACTTCATTATTGCTGTTTTGTTGATGGAGCGAGCCACAAGACTTCAAAAAAACTTTTTATTAATTAACAGATAATAAGTGTCATGATTTACTGATTTGTCTTTTGTAAACCTTTTAAAATGATAGACACAGGCACACTGTTTGTAGGCGTGTAATATTACTTCTTGTTTCAAGAAATTAAGTATACAGTTTGGAAAAATAAACTTACATGATGCACAACCATACATGCAGTACATCAGGGCAATAAACAGAAAGAACAGGTATCCTAAGAAGTATTTATGGTTCCTCTCCCCTAAAATAAAAATATAAATTGTAACACATGCAATTGTAGAATGTTACATGATAGCTGATATTTTCATGCATTTTGGATTATTTGAAAAGGGGTCAATTTTGAAAATATATCTTTCTTGATGAAAATTCTCATAATACATAAATCAATCACAGAATATTGCATTTCAAAATGGGTCATATATTGGAAATAATGAGGATTAATGAAAGTTGGAAGGTCCCTTTACTTTACATAACAGTCTAACCTAGCTACGATGCAGTGTTTAGACCTAAGAGAGCACCTAATAAGACGTGAACTGCAAAACTTACCAATACAATTGTCCACCCAGGGACAATGGTGGTCAAACCTGGCTATACATTTGTTACATATAGAGCAGTGTTTAGACCTCAGAGGGCGTCTAATCAGACATGTACTGCAGAATTGAGTCATGTCAAACATCTGTAGTTCTGACATCTCAAGAACTGCCTGAAAATGAAGCAGTTAAATATTGATATATCATAACACTATTTCCCACCTTTGACTGAAATATCAACAAATAAGACATTCGTTCCAGTTATGATTCTCTAGAAAATGTATCTTTCTCATTTCAAGGGAATGAATGATGTTTTATATGTACATGTGATATTTAGAGATAATTTGTTACAATCCAATAACTGGTTCCAATATGCAGCATCGCATTTATGGTATACACAATAGAATGCTCAATATGAAGAAAACGCATCATGAATGATAAAACACTCATATAATAAATCAAGAGGTGCTGCCATCTTTTGAGTCTATAAATATATCAAACAATGAAAGAGTATTTTCTAATATATGTACTTTCTGTTCTTTAAAAGAAAAAAACAGGATATGTAAAACATTTTGTGAAGTTACTCTACTAGATACAGTATAGTAAGCAAGCTTGTCTGAGGTCTTACCCTTATTTTCTCGTCCCTAGTGGTTTTGATGGTACCAGGGTCTATCTTCCAGCACTTGACGAAGTTGTACGTTAAAAACATGGTATCAATACTGAATGGTATCATAATCGTCAGAGTGTTGATATGTGGTATAGTTAAGGAATATTTCCATTTATGGAGACCGTTTAGAAATTCTTCATTTTGAATCGTTAACAACCTTCCCTTCAAAGGTAAAATATAGTACAGAAAGATTTCACGAAATAATATGGCCCAAGAGAATCTTGCTAGAATAAGCAGCAAAAACACTATTTTAAGGTACAGTGTAGTAGAAAAATGCACTTTTAAGGCCTCTACAAAATCATTCATTTTAAATACTGAACATATGATGGCATTACTGAATTTGAACACATAGAATCAATACATTCTAAAAGTCTGGATTAAGAAGCTTTCAATTGGTATAAAATACGCCTTGGCTTGCATTGAATATACCATATATGGACTGCAATTAAAACTAAGAAATAACATAACATAGAAGCATGAACAGAAAAATGCATAGACATTAAGCACAGATCAACAAGGCAAAACAATAATCATTTTATGCTCTAATATCAAAACTGCTTGACTTGAATAAACTATAAATAATCATGCAAAATGAATATTCTAAACTGATAAATCATGTGACACATATACACATTACAAAAGCGCATGCATTGTAAAGCAACTATAAAACAGGTCATCCCAGAATCAATATTTAAAAACAGGATGTTGTGACAATGCAAAATGTTTTGCGATAAAATTTGAGCAATGAACTGAATACAATAAAGTTGCAGCATTATAAGTAAATCACATAATATATTAATACAGTATGTGAATAGACTTAAACTGTCAGCCAAATGTCAGACTTGAGGTTTAAATTTTGTATATGATAGCAAACTATTATGCATTGTTTTTCTTCTTTTCATACTTCCAAAGCTTCTTTAGTTAAGAATATTGTCCTAGTTTGACCTATTATCACCCATTAAATTTCAAATATATGTGACGTGAAAACATTAACTTTTATTAACTAAATATTGTGATTGGTGAGTCCCATTAGAACACCGGAACGGAAAGATTAATTGGAAACTATACCAATTGCAGAAACCATCACTATGACCTGACTATTTGACATTTCAACTCAAATCTTTTTTCTAATTGCTTAACATCAACTGACCAATCAAAGTATCAGATACAAAGATTATACATTTCCATTTAAAAAAAATATATATTGACTCAATCTTTCGAATTTTATTATTACTATTGTTGAAAACCATTTGATGATTTTACAAATTGCATTCTGGTGCAAAAGGATATAGTTCCAAAGGTAATAAAACCAGGTAAAGTACATCCAGAATTTGGTGGTCAAATAAAGGGCGACGGGCATGACCAGCGAGTAGGCTGTTGGATCGAAGAAAGTTCTGCAAAAGAGAGAAAGTTCAGAAAAGTTAGTGTCAAGAAATTCTACGTAACCATACCCAAATATCATGCATAGCTTTGGTATTAGTAGATTGAACATGTGGTCGGGTTAACATATTAGAATCAGTTTTTGTAGTCTTCTATCAAGTTCCCCTAACTTACGTTGTTCTCATACACAGTTTCTTTTTCAAATAGTCTTGCTTAAAAGACCCTGTACTCATCCCCCCCCCCATTTATCCTTCTCTCTAGTATATTGCCAGGTAAAGAGAGTGAAGGTGATGGGGGGGGGGGGTGGATACAGTCTTTGAGCAAGACTATTTTTCAAAGAATGAGGGGAGAACAGCACAGGGGCTCAATGCAAGGCTACAGTTTATAATTTTTGGTTTTCATCAAGCATATCTTTGCTATTGCTACCTTCTAGCCTATATTAAGTGCTAATTAATAATTATACAAAGTCTAAGCCAAAGGTATACATAATATTTGGATTGTTATCTTATATACAACAGAGTAAACAAATAATATCCTATGTATCAAACTTAAATACTTAAATAAATTTAGTGATACACATTGTATGTGCTGAGCATGCATGCAACTAATACAAATAAACAATAAAAAATCTACTGATTCATCAGTTTTAAATTCAAAGACAACTTTCTTAAAACATTTTCTCTTTTGACCAAGGTAAATACTTAACAGTGATTTTTCACTTTAACTCATATGAGCACATAACAGAGTGCAAATTATATTAAAAAAATTCTGTAAGATTTTCAGGTAGATTGTCTCATTTTGATTAGTGCAGGAGCATGACATTGTAAGAAGAAATATCAAGAATTCCACACAATACAGGTGGTTCTATTAAAAAACAATCTTTCAGATGTGAAGTGTTGGACATTATCTGCACCATTTTTAAGAAGTTTTAAGATTTTGGATTAGAACTGTATTACAACAAAAGTCCTACAGAGAATGATTATTATTAGGCCATAGCATGGGGGTTGCTTCTGTCTGAAATTAGCAACTGTGTATTATGTGGTGAAAATGTTTCATGGAGGACCAAGCATTAATTTAGATTTCTCTGTGACATGATGTGCACAACTAGGTAGTGTTAATTGTGAATCAAACATGCCAACTGTGTCTCAGCCAATCAGCTTAAAGCATTTCAGTGCGTTAATTTATTGATATACGCATGAAAATGATTTTGCTGTGCATTTAATTTTTGATAAATGCATGGACTAAGCCCGTAAGGCATCAGCATGCAAAATTCAAACCAAATCTGACGAGTATAATTATTAGTATTGGAGTCATCGCCAAGACACATGAAAGGGAAAACTATAAATTGGGAAAGGCTCTCAAACCTCTGCTTAACTTTGTTTGGTGGGAAGATTATCATTCATTATTTTGACATACAAGTAGCAAGCAAAAAGAAGACAAAACACATTACAAAAAGCTGGACACAAAAATATTTTGTCAAATATGTTGTAAATAACAACTATCTGATACATTTCAAACAAATATATGGAATGTAGATTTCAAATTGCAAGAAAAAACTCTTGCTTCCATGAAAAGGACTCATTCTGTGATATAAGCAAAAATGTGTATCAGAATAATGAAAAAATCAATACAGAGAGACAGATTTTTGTACTTTTGTCAAGGATATAAGGCCAGCAAGCTGTAAAAAATGTAGAGTAGCACCAGAATTTTGTGCAGAGGCCAATATTGATAGGTAAAACACGTGTAAGGATTTCATCTTCAGGGTCAACATAGCCAGTATTCAGATCGATTAATAAAATATTGCTAAAAGTAAAAGAGAAAAATGAATTATTATAGTAGAATAATACAGAGTTAAAGTGGAGATTACAAAAACATCATGTCACCTGCCATATATAAGGGAGTAGTTAGAGTTAGAGATATAGATGGACTGTTGTGATTCATTTGGGCAATTTAATACAACTGCTGTGATTGGATTGGGCAATTTAACACAACTTTTGTGATTCGTTTGGCAATATAGCAAAACCATTGTGACTGGTTTGGCAATTTTATAACAACTGTTGTGATTCATTTGGGCAATTTAATACAACTGCCGTGATTGGATTGGGCAATTTAACACAACTTTTGTGATTCGTTTGGCAATATAACAAAACCATTGTGACTGGTTTGGGCAATTTTAATAACAACTGTTGTGATTCATTTGGGCAATTTAATACAACTGCTATGATTGGATTAGGCAATTTACACAACTATTGCAACTGACATGTGTGAATTCTTATGATGCTAACTTGGCCATAATGTCAAATATGAGATTGGGTTCTATGTCTAATACAGAATGATAAAGCAAACAAATCTGTATAATTAATAAATTATGGCTATGCATCGTTATACAAGAACACAAATGTGTACAATATGTCCCCACCTATGGGTGATCCTGTCAAATGGTTATCCTAAAAATGAGTAGACAAGACTTTACCGACACAATTTGAGGACGGAGAATCCAAAATGGCCACCTTAAAATTTACCAAGAATGCCCAAAAATTAGTCAGTTCTAGATTTTCATACTAAGAACCACCCCTGAAAATTTGAAATTGATCCGTCACACAGTTAACCAGAAAACATGTAAACAAGACTTTACAGACAAGATTTGAGGACAGAAAATCCAAAATGGCTGCCTTGACATTTATCCAGAATGCCAAAAACTAATCTGTTCTAGATTTTCATACTAAGAATCATCCCTGAAAATTTGAAATTGATCTACCAAACAGTTCACCTGGAAATGTGTAGACAAGACTTTACAGACGAGATTTTAGGACAGAAAATCCAAAATGGCTACCTTGACATTTACCCAGAATGCCCAAAAACTAATCAGTTCTAGATTTTCATACTAAGAATCATCCCTGAAAATTTGAAATTGATCTACCAAACGGTTCACCTAAAAACGCGTAGACAAGACTTTACGGGCAAGATTTTAAGACGGAAAATCCAAAATGGCTGCCTTGACATTTATCCAGAATGCCGTAAAAATAATCAGATCTAGATTTTCATACTGAGAATCATCCCTGAAAATTTCAAATTGATCTACCAAACATTTCACCTGAAAATGCGTAGACAAGACTTTACAGACAAGATTTTAGGACGGAAAATCCAAAATGGCTGCCTTGACATTTACCCAGAATGCCCAAAAACTAATCAGATCTAGATTCTCATACTAAGAATCATCCCTGAAAATTTGAAATTGATCTACCAAACGGTTCGCCTGAAAATGCGTAGACAAGACTTTACAGACAAGATTTTAAGACGGAAACATCCAAAATGGCCGACAATAAAAAAGTGATTATGAGTTTTTGCTGAAACCGTTTTACAAAATTATCACATATAACTACTGTTAACAATAACATAAGCTTTTACAACAAAGTACACCTGAAATTATTTATAAAGCTACTAAAAAGTTAAAGTATGAAAACTGAAAAACACCATTCAATATGATACAAAGTATTATCGTGCGCTAACTTTTCTTAAAACATTCAAAATGGCTGACATGACTGAGCTAACAGGTCCAAAACCTAATCAGATCTAGAATGAAGTGAGCTGAACAAGATGTTAAAGTTTTAAAAGCAACTGTGAAGCCATTTTTCTTAAAGTTTGCAGACAAGGATTTTAGCATTTGACTTCAAAATGGCCGACAGGAAGTAGGTATTGAGTTAATTTTTTTTCATCCACATCTGTATGCACTCATAAGTTATCCCTGAAAATTTGAAGATGATATCTGTAGCGGTTTTGGAGAAAACTGCCGGACGTACGGACGGACAGACAGACGGACAGACAGACGGACGCGCCTAGGCCGACAATATGGCCCCACACTATGTGGTGGGGACATAATAAAAGCCAATATATTTAGAAATCGAACATAAATCCCAAAGAAATGGAAACAAAGCACTTCTAATTTTCCTGGGGTGTCCATTAAATAGTAAGCATTTAAAAAGCAATAGATGTGATAGGGTGTGAAAAAAACATTTTTGGAAACATAAAGTGGAATCTGGTGATAATACGAGCCATAGTTCTTATTCAAGCAATTCTTCTTGGACAGGTATATCAAAAAGCATAATTATGAAGGTTATCATTGAATCAAAGTTTAAAAAACTGGCCTTCTTTCAAATATGCATAATTAATTGCAGCAGCATGTATCCATACCCTACCATACTGTGGCTACAGCAAAGGGCCTAACTTATATTACATATAGTGAAATCCTATATCATACAGAGAAGCCCCTTTGCGCAACTTTTAATACCATTTGGTAAGACATAGTAAGATGGAGGGTGGATACAACCTGTATACTATGAGATGAAAAGGATATAGGGTAAAAAAGCGTAGAATATTGTGGAATAAAGCCAGAACTTTGTTGATAGGCCAAAACACATCATTCCTGACTTCACACAGGAATCACCTGTGACATCCTCAAATATAAGCACGTCACTATGAAAAAAGAAAAAAAAAATCAGATAAAACATATCCCTTTTCATGAGGTGCAAAAAGCAATTACTTTAAAGTAACTTTCTATGATTTCATCTAAAAATTAAAACCCTCGAAAATACTAAATATGGTTTAAGTGCCATATATAAACTTTATTTTAGAAATATTGTGGATCAAAATGAAAAAAAACAAAAATAAAGAATAAAAACATATTCCCCCGGAGGGATTTGAACCCAGATCTTTTGGAATAAAAGTCTGTTTGAGCCCAAAGCTCTAACCACTACACCAAACTGCCAAAGCTTCCTGAAGAAAGAAATTCTTTATCTATATAATCATGGATGAAAAAAGTCTTATTTACATGCTTAAATTTCTTAAAAATTATCAGCATTACTACTAATAATAACATTTTGCATGTCTGAGTAAGTATTTTGATCTACATTTAGGATAAATGTTGTTTTATTCAGTTTTCATTTTGGGTATGACTTCCTGTCAAAACAGTGTTAAAAATGCAGGGCTCAACAAAAATTTTCAATTAGAAAATGATATATATCCTTTGATCAGCTGTTTTTGGCACCTGAACTCATCCTACTAGAAAGGTAAGAGCATTTTCTTGAGACATATGGCTCGAAATCTCACATTTCTCCTTCTAAGTCTTAGAAAGACACTTTAACATAGGGCCTCGTTCTGACTTCAGACCTTTTAAACCTCCCCCACTGTAACTTACAAAATTGTCCCTTTTACAAAGGACCATTTACATGGACACAAAAGGGCATTTCTTTTGTAATGTAATGAGGTCTCGATGCCAAACAATCAAACTGCAAGGATTAACAACATGAACCTTTAAAATCAGGATTTTAGGAATAATATCTTTACTTTTGTAGCACTGCAAAAACCTTATTGCAACACTCATTACAAACAACTATCACATGATAGCAATCTCTAGAGTGCAATTCCTGACAGAACTGCTCACATGGGCGTAGCGCTATTTTTCTAAGTAGTACACCACCACCACAGGAACAAGAGTTGAGTGAATCAAAAAACGAGCATTAAGGGGGGTCTGGGGGTTCTCCCCCTGGAAAATTTTGAAATATGGTTGTATTTAGAGCGAATTTGCAACCATCTGGTACGCCTGTGCGTACCCAGCGTACCGGGCGCTACGCCCATGGCTCAGTTTCTAATTAAATCATATATGTTCAGTACTTGAAACACATTTGGATATTGGTATTTCATTTTCTTATTTATCTATGACATTTGCCATGCTTCTGTCCGACTCATGGGACCACTTTAATTATAATATCATCCTACATATAAATTTGTTATTCCGTCAGATGCTATTAAATGAAGGTTAAATAGGAAATTATATCCGAAACAATAATCAATTCAAAAGTGATCAACCTTTAAGAGTGATAATGTACCACTGGAGCTTCATTGCAATAAATACTTAAATCCTTAAAAAATATGTGAGTGCACTTCACTTGGATGAGCTATTTTTGTTGAAAACATATGAGCATGTAATTTGCACTGAAGGGCTTATTGTTCTTTTTCGTGATCCCAAAAGAAACTCACTCATATAACGTAATTCACTTGCTCTGTGGTTACACATAAATACAGCCTTAATCATAAAAATCAAAATTATTTCACTGGCATCCACTGAATATTCCCAGTTTTAAAATGACACTAAATTTGCTATGCTCTTAGAAGTACAGGGTGTCTCAAAAAAAATGTACCCAAAAGTATATCAAAAGCACAGAAAAACCAATCAATATTTTCAAACATTTTTTGCATGGTCATGTAGCCAAAACATAAAAGTTTTCTCCCCAATACACCATTTTTATTTCAGTCTTGTCTTTTTGATGCTTTAACCCTTTACCTTTTAAACCACATAATCGATGTAACCTCATATTTCGATGACAGCCTGTATCCTTACTGTTGCATTGTTCATCACATTTGGTAATAATTCCGGTGGAATGTTTTGGATTTCTCTTTGGATGTTGCCCTTAAGTTGTTCTAGGTCTTTTTGCTTGGAATGAGCATTAAAACACTCCTTCAAATAGCCACAGAGAAAGATGTTTGAGGATGACGATGGCAGAACAAACACAGATAATAAGGTCAATTATCGGCAAATGATTCAGGAGTTACCTTCCAGAGTTAGGCAGGCTAGCCTGGAGACCAAATGATATCCAAATGAAAGCACAGTGGTCTCAAATTGATACACACAACAGAAGCTACACTAGAATCCCAACCAAATCAGTTTTTTGAACCTCTGACCTCTTTGTATAAGGGGGCTATAAGACATTGTGAGGGCCTCCCTATTCACCATATTTGACGGCCCATACTTTTTTCTCTGAGGCTATTTAAAGGACCATTTTTATGCTAAACCCAAGTTAAGAGACCTAGAACAACTTAAGACCAGCATCCGAACAGAAATCAAAACATTCCACCAGAAATATCAAATGTGATGAACAATGTAGTAGTAAGGATGCATACTATCATCGAAATATGAGGTTACATTGAATATGTGGTGTAAAAGGTAACGGGTCAAAGTATCAAAAAGGCAAAACTGAATTAAAAACTGAGTATAGGGGAAAAAACTTTCATCTTTTATCTACAAGACCATGCAAAAATGTCTGAAAATATTGATTGGTTTGTCTATGGTGTTGATATTCTTTTGGGTACATTTTTTGAGACAACCTATATATAGCCTCAGAGGTATATCTAGTGAGGCAAATTTAAACATGCAAGACAAAACTTGAGCCAAAGAGGATATTCTACTTCATTAAGACATCATTTGAATACATTCAAATGTTCAACTTTTGGACAAGGCAGTTATGTGACCCCTTCCTCTCATACAATAGGGTGACAGGTGGCAGGTGAACAGGTAGTATATAGGAATATAGATTGATTAGATGGTGTAAAAAGCAGATCTGCATATACTAATGGATAGAACTGGCACTTGATTGGCAATGTAATACAAACAAACTGGCATTTAACTTTCGGGAGAATTTCAAAAGTTAAATGAATGATAGTCACACATGGCTAGGGCAAGGCGATGAAGGCATGTCCAATAAACTAGATGCGAGTAGAAATAACCTTGATTTACGTCATTAAATGTTCAAAATTCAGTCAAAGTGATGTCATATTTGAAATCTACATGTAAAAGTACATCTAGAAATATGGTTTCGAAAATTGTTTATCAACTTTGAAAATTTAATTTATTTTGAAAATGTGATTTCTAGTTCGGGTTGAATCCCCATAGACCCCATGTTACAAAGTCACAAAAAGTGAAATATATTTTCTTGTAATCGACAAATATCATTTTCCTTCACTGGACATTTTTTAATTAGCATAACTATTAGATACATGAGGGTTATATCAAAATTGAACCACCAAAACAGATGTAATTTAAGTTAAAGGGAACTTTCTACCATACCCGCCATGCTATCTGACCCGAACGAGCCACCTGGTGGTGAAATTGGTAACTACCTACTCGCATCTGCGTTATTCCAGCCAATCAGAACACAGTATATCATATAATCGCATTAATTCATTTGGTGGGATAATAAATGTAATAAAGCTACAGCCACAACTTTGCATTCTATAATCAACATAAGGAATCTAAACATGCAAACACAGAGCATGTAAGAGAATATTTAGCATGGTCTACTAGGATAAGCTTCTATACTATAACTTAATTAAATTGCAAGGGACTTTGTCAAAATATTAAGGCCTCAGATCCCTTCCTCTCTGAAAGATCAAGGCAAATGTTTAAGATATCATTCCACTCATTCGTACCCTCATTTTGCTCCCTTATGAAAGGCAGAGTCAAATGAATGTCATTCTTACTCTTCAAATTTTATCTCTAAAATAGGCAAAGTAAACATTTGTTCATCAAAACATTCTGAAAGGTTTGTAATGAATCTTTCTTATTTTTGTATATACTGCACATAATACCTGTTTATGACATTGTGCAATACAAACATGTCATGTGCTTTGCATCTTCATAATTCAATAATCTTCATTGCATCTTAAGATTTTAGCATTAAATCTTAAGATATAGCTTTTAGATCATGTTTTTGATCATCACTTTCATTACATTCCACTTATTGCATCCAATATGAAGGGTGACTTACTTTCCAACAACTCGCATTCCGAGTGTCATGAAACCAAACATAAGTAGTTTTAACCACCAGGTGGCGTCCAGCTCACAGATGAAGCCAATCAGAAAGAAGACGACAAATGGAAAACCTTGCATCACTCTCCGCCGTAAGGTCTGAAAATAAACAAGAAATTATAAATAAGAGTCAAAATTTTAAGTTATTAAATTTTTTCTGAAAATTTGCAGCCATTTCAAAATGTTTACATTTATAATTCTTTTGACCACATAGCTTTATGGCATTACAGGAAATTTTATGAAAAGTGTTCAGATTAGACAGGTGAATCTTTCAAATATGACTGTTCACTGTTCAAATTGCAAGGTGTTCACATTTCAAGGTTCTTTTTTTAACATGGGAGTCAATGGGAGGAAATAATGTGACTGAAAAAAGGTTTCAGATTGGGAGGTGTTCGGATTAGCCAGGTGTTCAGATATACAGGTTCTACTGTAATTGATAGTTACAAATGTAGATATGGGGCCAAGAGAATGGAATTATAGTTATTCATGAAATGTTTTACATATGGATTAAGGACAAGAATATGATATAAATACATGTACATGTACCTGAAAGGTTGTTATATATTTACTGGACATACTTTTTTAGATGTTTCATATTAACTGCTCAACCATGTATTATAAACTGAATTCAAGGAATTTAATATGATACCTAATTGAAAGTAACCCATGTAGACAAGGGCTAAGAGAATGTATAGTAATGTACAGTTTGGACCAAAAATAAAGGAGTCCTGGATATGCTGAAGTGAGGATTTCCCATGTTAAAAATAAGACTATTTTAAGAGGCCATACATCAGTGGATGAGAGTATACAAAATGTAAAATATACAAAATTTTAGCTGATATGTAATTTAGACAATATTGGAAACTATTGACTTTCAAAAAGCATGGTTTGGAAACTTATAATTATATATTCACTGTACTTATTAGATGTTATATATTCATTGTTAACAATGTATTCTAAATTGGAAGTGAATGAACATACTTATTGGAGGTTAGCATGTTGTTATGGTCAGAGATGAAAAAAGGTATTGCAGATTATGAGATTTTATATGTACATGTATATACAGGGTGTCAAATAAGCCCCATCCCCCTCTACAGCCAAAACCAAGATATTTGGTACCAAGTGTGATACATCATTGGAAAGGGTGTACATAGATGGAGGTGAAGGGAATGAAAAAGGTAGTGCCCCTTGTTATGAGATTTTAAGTTGATTGAGACTGAGAGAAGGGAAAAGGTAGTATACCTGGTTGCATGTACCTCATGACATTTTATGTAAAGCAAAAAGAATGAAATACAGTACCTTATTAGACGTAATAGACTGTAACATCTTTGTTTGGTCAATTCCCTTCAGGATTCTGGCACTCTGTATCTTCTGTGAGATCCAAAAATGTTTTTTCTGATTAGCTATGTCCAAGGCTAACTCATCCTGTATAAAATAGACAAGGCACTAACATGACAAAATGTCACTACCTAGTTGCTCAAGATATTATTAGTTCAATCTTGTAGATGATTTTGAATCTGAGAAGGTCATTGAAGGTCAAATCTTCTTTTGACCTTGAGAATGTCACTGAAGGTCAAATTTATAGTCAGATATGAACTACTGATAACTTGTAGATGGGTTTGAATGAAAAAATACCTTTTGAGCTTTTTTGACCTTGAAGGTAAACTCAAATCTTTAGTCTAAGGTCAGATTTGAACTTCTGACAACTTGTAGATGATTTTGAATAAAAAAATTGGACAATTTGAAGCAAGTTGAAAAAGACCTTTATGACCTTTTTTCACCTTGAGAAGGTCAATGAAGGTCAAATCTAAAGTCAGATTTGAACTTCTGAAAACTTGTACATGATTTTGAAAACAACTGAAGTCAGTATAAACAGTATTTGTAATGTTATTGGAAGTTTTAAGAATTTGGTACAGACACCAAGGTACAGACGCCAACCGCTGCCACAAAAAAAGCGAAGACCATAACAATATGTCACCACTTTTTGGTGGTGACACAAAAATATTGATATATGTACTGAAGAATGCTTTCTGATTTAAGTCACTGCTGAAAACTGAAAATTGATGGACATCAAATTATTTCTGGAACCTTGGACAGTTTTAGGACAACACTATTAATGCACATAAGCTATGCTATTTGACTGACATCTAACAATCATCGAAAAAATAAGAAAACATGTGTGAAATAATCAACATAATCTTAAATAGTTAGCCATACGAGCTGTACAAGACATGTGGAAATGTCACATGTCAAAAGAAGAACCTTCTTGTAATTGATTTTTCTCTTTTAAGGTTTTGTACACAATGAATGTATTTTGCTTCATAAGCCCTCTTTGCCTTATTTCAAAAAATTAACCTACCTTGTCATTTTTTGAGACTAGACTAGCACCTTCTTGTATGAGAAGTGAAACTACAACATGGTTGCCAGAGAGAGCGGCCCAATGGAGGGCCGTGTTTTTGTGGAACTTGTCACCGAGATTTACTGTAGCATTGAATGTCAGCAGTAGCCTTGTGGGGTCAGGACTGGAACAGATATACATCTTTGGGGTCAGACCAAAAATTAGACTTCAGTTAAATAATGCAATTTTTTTACAGTTTGCATAGTAGTTTTAAATATAAATATGAATACCTACCAACTGTTTACAGTAATTTTGTATATTTTCAACAAAAAACAATAATTCTAAAATCAGTTTGTGAACGTACAATCAAAAAGATCCAGAACTTTTTATAAGTAATGATAATTTGCCCTTAAAACCTTCATTTCCTAAAACATTTTTATCAAAAGAAGAACCATTAACTTTTTTCACAGATGAAGCACACTGTACTAACTATTCGCATTGTAGCAGTTACGAGTACAGCAAATCTTAATGTCACAATTTAGATGGAAGATCTTTTTCTCAGATTACAGATCACTGCGCTTTTTCCACCAATATGTATCAAAAAGCTAATGTATTTAAAATCAACTTCATAGTAATCAAATTGTCTTTTTCAACATATCAGGTGCCTCATATGCATTGGAAGCCATTTTGGAAATTCTTAAAGTCCAAAAGGAATATGTTTTTGTTACCTTCCTAGTAAAGACTCCTGATATGCGTATCCAAACATAAATATATCCCAGCCACATTTTCAGAAATGTAAGTTTTTGAGCAATTTAGATTTACTCGAATGACTAACAACTCAAATGACAAGCTACTGAAATGTCACTTACTTAAACACCCTGTATGCACTCCACATGAGTGCAGTCATGCCATTTTTATCCTGCATATCCACATCTTGTCCCTTGGCTATAAGGTACGCAACTATTGCAGTGAAGCCAAACTGGGCAGCAAGGTGAATACAGCTACAACCTGTGCAGATAGGATGCATTTGATTACTTATCAAGAGGTTGACAGAGTAGATTGTATACCTCAGCGCTATCCTTGCATAGATTTTAGTTTATAGTGAGGTTGGGATATAAAATTGAGGTATATTGTTAATTCTATTTACCTCATTGAAAATGTCATACTATGTAAGAAATTTAAAGCTGATTGATTTCGTTAAACTAAGTGCATAACTTTACTTTTCTGTGAACAAATCTGGTCAAATTAAGCAAAACCAGAACAACTGCAACACCAAAGCGTAGCGAATCCCATCGAACAGAAATGGCTGGCATTTTTACAAACGAATAGCAAATATCATAAAACAACACACATAAGAAAGGCCACCATTTTCAAAATGGTTGCTCACTAGCCAAGTTGTCATCAGAAGAAATAATATGCTTTTCAGTAGCCACCTCTAAAATTTTTGAAAAATCGCACACGCACTTGTAAAATAACACACATAAAAATGGTGGCCATTTTTCAAAATGGCAGACTACTCCCCAAAGTTTTATTAGAAAATGTGCCATTCTTAAAGTATTCACATATCAAATATGAACAAAATCGCTCCACTACTTTTTGAGTTATAGTAAAATACGTTAAAATGGCGGCCATTTTTCAAAATGGCCACCTTCTACCAAAAGTGTCATTAGAAATAGACAGTGTGCCATGCTTATAGTATTCACATACCAAATATGAACAAAATTGCTCCACTACTTTTCGATAATAATAGTAAAATACGTTAAAATGGCGGTCATTTTTCAAAATTTTTTTCAAAATGGCCGCCTTCTACCAAAAGTGTCATAGGACAGTGTGCCATGCTTATAGTATTCACATACCAAATATGAACAAAATCGCTCCACTACTTTTCGAGTTATAGTAAAACATGTTAAAATGGCGGCCATTTTTCAATTTTTTTTTCAAAATGGCCGTCTTCTACCAAAAGTGTCATAGGGCAGTGTGCCGTGCTTATAGTATTCACATACCAAATACGAAAAAACTGCTCCACTACTTTTCGAGTTATAGTAAAATACGTTAAAATGGCGGCCATTTTTCAAAATGGCCACCTTCTACCAAAAGTGTGGTATGACTCCACCATTCTTTTGCCGTTTTACTACATGCCACAATCAACCTCACTGTCAGCATATCAAACCATGCCCATTTTCCATCAAACTTGGCCCAACTACTATCAGGTGGATGTCCTTCAAAAATCAAGTTGGCATGGTTACCAAAGCCTTATAGTTGCCATGGCAACCGTAGAAATGGGATAAAAAATTAGAGCAAAAAAACACCCAAACCCACCATATTGGCACTAATTTATAAAATATTTCTAGACATACAAATTTTCTTAAACTTTGATATCATCTAGGGCACTTCTAGACAACGAAAATATCAAAAATTGGGAATAGGTTTACCACTTCGATTTTTTTCTAGGCTTGGTCAAAGTAAAACTACGAAAAATGCACTCATTTTCACTTTTGAATCACCTATTATCGCCCAAATGGCTATATTTTTTCAAGGTCAAGGTCGCCATGTTAAAAGTAGAATTAAGGAGATAAATCTGCTCTTCAGACAATGTTTGATGGCTTTTCTTCACCACGGAACTAAGATCTTTGCGCTGGTATGCCCATTTCCATGAGATAATATACGTGAAAGAGGAACTATGTCTTTAAATGTCATCAAAACTTTATGCCAACACGTGAAAAGGCCATTTCGCACTACTTTTGGTGTAATAATTCCATAATGGAGACAAGTTTTCTTATGCAGCACTAGTGTAACTGTTTTTAGGTAATTGAGACATTTCTGATAAAAATGGTATCCAGAAACATGATATTTTGAATAAAACGGGGCCAAAAAACGACCCCTGAAGATGCCTGCATTATTTAAGATTTTGGTGTTTTTCACTGGCCTGAAAAATGGATGGGGTAGGGGAGTGACACACCTTTTGGGCTTATTCAAGTTAGCATTTTAATCAAATGAATGGCCACATGTTTGGTTCCATCTTAAAGCTTGTCACGTCCTCTTCAATTTGGTACCCATATCATGAGGTCTTTAAATGTCATCAAAACTTTATGCTAACACGTGAAAAGGCCATTTCGCACTACTTTTGGTGTAATAATTCCGTGTCTTAAGACAGTGTACAATGCTTATACTACATACCAAATATGAACAAAATCGCTCCACTATTTTTTGAGTTATAGCAAAAATCGTAAAATGACGAGTAAAGGCCACCATTTTTCAAGATGGCTGCCATGTGCTTCTTTAATATCTACATTTGTAGCATTATTAATGTCCTTTATAATTTTTTTACATTTAAAACATATTGCTATAACAGTTTTACATATTGCACCTAAATTACTGTAAAATTGGCACTAAAATGGCCGCCATTTTGAAATGAGCGGCCATTTTGAAAATCAGCTTTCCAGCAGAACTTCTACCCCCATAAGGTATATGTGTACAAAATATGAACAAAATCGGGCCAACGGTATTTGAGTTATTACCCGGACGGACGGATGGACGGACGGGCGGACGGACGGACGGAAGGACGTACGGACAGACATACGTACGGACGGAGGCGTTCCCTATATCCCTCCGAACTTCGTTCGATGGGATAATAAAATTGTGCGCAGTTGAGAGTGATATACCTTCTCCATTTAAGTACATACTGTATACCTTCTCCATTTAAGTACATACTGTATACCTTCTCCATTTAAGTACATACTGTATACCTTCTCCATTTAAGTACATACTGTATACTTTCTCCATTTAAGTATATACTGTATACCTTAGTTTAAGTACATACTGTATACCTTCTCCATTTAAGTACATACTGTATACCTTCTCCATTTAAGTACATACTGTATACCTTTCCGATTTAAGTACATACTGTATACCTTCTCCATTTAAGTACATACTGTATACCTTCTCCATTTAAGTACATACTGTATAACTTCTCCATTTAAGTACATACTGTATACCTTCTCCATTTAAGTACATACTGTATACCTTCTCCATTTAAGTACATACTGTATACTTTCTCCATTTAAGTATATACTGTTTACCTTAGTTTGAGTACATACTGTATACCTTCTCCATCTAAGTACATACTGTATACCTTCTCCATTTAAGTGCATATTGTATACCTTAGTTTAAGTACATACTGTATACCTTCTCCATGTAAGTACATACTGTATATATACCTTTTCTATTTAGAAGTATACTGTACACCTTCTCCATTTAGGAGCATAACTGTACAACTTCTCCATTAATGACACCTCCATTTACCTTCTCCATCTCTCAAAGATGGGTCAGCACCATATGATATCAGCAGCACAACCATGGGTAGGTGCCCCTGCCTTGTAGCCCAGTGTAGAGGGGTAGAGTTCAAATCTCCTCCTAGCTTATCTATTATGGCACCCTTGTTCATGTAGTACCTGAAAGTGAATTTAATTCAATGATTTTGTGAAATGCATTTCAGCTTTTGTTTTAAAAAAGAGGACTGTATAACCATCTGCAATAGTACTGTACATAATTCATTGTTTCATGTTACTAGTCTAATTTGACATACCTTAACTGTTTAGATGTCAATTATTAACTTGATTCTTTAGTGAAATTTTTCATTCAACTTGGACTACCTTAATAAGTCTATAAAAATTACCCGCTCGGTTTACCTTAATAAGAGGTTAGATGACTTACTTGACAATATCTTGCCTATTGTTGATTGCTGCCCAGTGTAAGAGAGTGACATTCTCCGCATCTGGTTGGTTTACATCATGCCCAGCCTCAATCAGCTCCACACATCTGTCATATACACCTGGAGGAGGGGGGGGGGGTCAGAGAAAATATGTGTTTTAATTATAACTAAAATGTATATCTAGAGAAAACTGTTAAATCAAATTGCAGCATACAGTACTTAGATTAAGAATAAACCACATGTTTGATGTACATGTTACTCTGAGAACTCAAAATAGCCAAATTATGGCTACCTTTTTAATTGACTATCTCTTAGGGGAGGGGTCATACAAAAAAGAATTTAAACTTCATCAAAGATGCTTTATGTTATGTGCATCTTGCGACAAACAAGATACATTGATTTTAAAGACACTGTCAAAGAAATTTAGACCGTTATTGAATTTTTTAAACAGATTTCAGTTTCAGCCATTTGCCATGTGATTTATGAGTTGGTGTGAACACATTGTGCATTAACACTGATGAATATACCTTTTATTCATTATTGTCAACTATTTTGATTTTTGATTCATCATTCTCAAATAAAATCTTATTTGTCAAATACACTGAGTAGACTCACCATACTGTGTTGCTTTTACTATATCCCATGCTGAAGTGTCTTCAGGCTCAGTGGTAGGCGGGGCTGGTGGATGATTGACAGGTTCATGGCTGTGACTGTGTCCATGCCCCTCAAAGTTGGACTGTGTTGGGTAATTTGGTTGAGTGGGATAGGGCTTATACTCAGCCTGGAATATCCATATGAAATTTACATCTTTGTTGCTAGATATTAATATGTCCTTATTCTGTCTATATATGATCAATATTTCTAATCTCTCTTACGAATGAATAGATATCTAATATTGAAAATCCCTGCTACAAATTCAAATGCGCATATCCTGCAGGAACTTTCAATTTTCACATTTTTTTGATTTTTGGCAAATTTTCATATATAAAATGCATTATTGATATGTCCTGAAGACATATTGCCAATCTAAACCTAGTCTATATCCAATACACCAATTATCTTGAGAATTCGGTCTTTTGATCATCATGTCCCTATTGTGGGAAAAAACTTTTTGTGCACAAAATTATCAATTTTAGGAAGCTTCACTTCCCAAAAATAAACATTACAACAATTCAGTTAAGTAGTGAGGTACAATTAAATGCTATAAAAAGTATGTTGCATAATACCCATAAAGCATGTTGTCAAATGGAAATAAAGCTTGGAAAAGTAACTAATATGCAAATTAATTTACTCTATCGGCCATTTTGACTATTATTTTTTTCATGGCCTGACTACGTCTGTAGAACTTATATAACAGTTTCTTGAAGATTAGGAGCCTTACTTACCCTCTAGAGGTTAGAACACAAATTTCAATGAAACAATATCAGCTTTGTTTTGTTCATGATGAAGTATAAACACAGAACTTGATTGAAATTTGTATAAATGCTTTTTGGACTTTTAATTTTCTTCATGTTACTTCCGGGAAGGCGTTGCCCAAATCACGAAATATAATGTATTGACCCTTGAACTTTAATTTTGTGACATGTCATCCAACCATGTCTGATGTGGAAATAATTATAATATTAGAAAATAATGTTTTGCGGTCGTTTGCAGATGAGTTTAGGACAGGGCAGAGGAGGATGGCCTGTTCTAAGATGGAAGAAAATGCATGATCTACAGTGGAACTATTGGTATGAATGAAATGCTACGCAGAAAGTATGAATGGGTCGTTTGCTGTATTAGTCTTTGTATTATGGTTTCCTGTTTGTGATGCTTTATAATTTAGACCAAAGTATAGAAGAACACACACACTTGTAAATTATAAACGAACAAACATTCAATTTTCACAAATGTTTGTAATTTATAGGATTAAAACTTCCGGAAGTTACAAGAAAATCATTTATTTTCGCGTTTCATATTTAACCTTTTGGATATTGTGCTAAATGCTATATGGTTGATGCAAAAAAGGTGATAGGGTTTCATTGAAATCTAACCTCTAGAGGGTAACTAAGACTCCTAATCTCCAGGTTACTCGACTTATACTTCAAGTTCTACCGACAGAGTCAGGCCATGAAAAAATAATAGAGGATATAGTCTTTACCTAAACCCACCCGCTTCTTTTAGTCCCAGTTCAAGCAAAAGGGAATTTTCACAGGTGAGAAAACAGGAACAAAATTTGCTCAAATATCGACACTCATTTACTTTGATGGGAGAGCTACAGACACGGATAATGGGAAGTTCTACGATAAGCCGATTATAATATAACCAGGTTGTTAAAGTAAAATTCCCATTCCATTTCTTCATGGCTATTGCACATGAGTCTCGTGATCTGATGGTGAAATTTACCTTCTTCTAAGGCCACTGTATCGTGGCCTTCCAGTACAGATATATTCCTGCATGAACAACTGGTCATGTCGTAATCATAAAATTTGAAATCATATGTCCGCCATTTTTCCACATCACAATTTGAATTGCGAGTTTTGGTCTTATTACCTCACAAAAAATTCCAAAACACACATAAAGTGATCAGTGTATTAGTTCACATCTTCTGGATCGCTAACTTAGAATTTACAGCCAGTTACTAATGTCAGACTTTAACGACATTTCGTCCAGTTTTCGAACATCGCCATTTTTCTTGGAGCCATTTTGTTTTAATTTTAGACGAAATCCTGATGAAATCATGTCATATCTCATCAAGGAGCCGAGCTGGGTCCGGTTTGATAAATGATTTATTTATCTGGCGATTTTTAAAATATTCAATAAATTTATGACACCACGGCCAGCTTTTTTCAAATAGAGTTCACAGTATTCAGATGAAATCCCCTCTATCCAAGTATTGGCTAGAGACTCGAGTAAGTGAAAATAAGCCAGAGCGCATACTAGACTACTGTTTACATTTGCTTATCAAAGGCTGCCTGGCTAATCCATGGAAGACCCTTTGTTGGAATAAAAATCTAAAAGAGTTATATATATGAGGTTGAGCCAAGGTTTATTTTTGCACGCCTCTTTTAGTTGATTGTGTAGGCTACAGTTGGGGACATAAATAAATGACAGGTGGATTTGCTGAAGTGAGGATTTCCCATGTTAAAAATAAGAGAATTTACAAGAGGCCATAAATCAGTGGATACGATTATACAAAATGTAAAATATACAAATTTTAAGGGATATGTATCTAGACAATATTGGAAATTATGGGCTTTCAGACCACCATAATTAGGAAATGGTGATCGAAAATCGACCTGTCATTTATTTTTGTCCCCAACTGTACACAGAATTTTAGCATTACTTCCGGGTTTTATTTACAACATTTGAGCTAGATTTTGCTCGAATTTACCGAATTTTGCAAATAGAATGGTACATTAGATATTCTTAATCACAAAAGAACACAAGAGCAACAATTATGACGAATACAAATGTATGTGCATAACTTACATGCTGTAGTAAAGGCTCTACAGGGTTGCAAGTAGGGTCTCTCTCCTCATCCGCCATCTTTTCTAACAAAACAATCTCAGTTTTGATTGGTCGAAATTATATGAACACCCACGAGTAGATTTTAGATACACACCTCTCACGGGGTTAGAAATTTGGATATGATTCTGGATACTGACGTTTATTTTTAGTATTGTGTACTTTCTAATGTTTTGGCAACTTTCATAGTTATAAATATCGAAAACATTGGAATTTGCATCGCATGGGCATTTAAAAACACTTCATTACTGCTACACTAACTAGAAGTCAAGATCTGTTTTGGGGTGACCAATCACTCCAAATTGAAAGTGCTTTGGAAAGTGTTGGTCAAATATTTAGATTAAAAATTATCAAATAAATCCGCAAAAGCCAGTTAAGATAAAAGGTGAGTACATTTACTAACATGCATGTACTGTTGTAGCAAAATACGTTCACATTGTGAACAGAGATCTAAGTGTCAAATAATTTCCATGAAGGCCAGTGTTGGAATTTTTTTTGCAAATAATTGAAAAGTACAGTGCTCTGTTTTATATGTCTCTGGTTCAATGCATATTCAGCAATATCAATGGTATACTCTATCTTAGTATCTTATATAATAGCCAAAAGTTCAAAAGCTTTTTGCCATTTTACCGTTCATTTTACAGACACCCTACTTTTCAGACTAAGAATTCGACGTTTCCAGTCCACACAAGTGTACTGTTTCTCAATTATTTTTGGTGAAGGACATCACGGAGGTCCCAATGATACCGAATGTTATTAAAAATGGAAGCCCATACCTCAAATTACATGTAGTAGAAAACAGTTAAAATGTGCTCATTCTTCCAAAAATGTTTCACAACTGCGTCCTCTCTTGCAATCGGTCAGTGTAAAATCGTATCCTGAAGCCCAAATCCCGGGAAAGTATTCGGTTTTAGTGATCTGATTGGTTTAAGTTGTCATGACGCATGCGCGACCGATAACTTTATAGGAACTTTTAATTTGACATCGATGTCACTTACGTTCATTATTTCACAGCAGGTCCTACCCATAATGCACCATCTATTGCGGTAATATTTTTTGTTTAGTGTCAAAACAAAAACTATACACCCAAAACAAATGTAATGATATAACGTCAACCTGCCCCGGATTCGTGGACGTTTGTTCTACAAATGGCAGAAAAGCACTTTGAGTCATGGGAATAAAGCACTTCCCTTAATGAAAAACCCAGACTCACTGTTTACACCAACAATCAATTTTTTTTTTTTTTTTTTTTCTTATTCTTTATTCAATTTTAGTACATACAAATTACACATGTAATGACTGCCGAAGTTGAAAAACATTGGTGGCAGTTTTTATTTAACAAACATAGTAAAATTATAAAAAACAAAAAAAACTAAAGGGTGGTGTCAGGTTTTCTGTCTGGGGTGTTTAGGCAATAAGCAGAAAACAAATTAAATAGTTATTTACAGCTGAATACAAAATTGGCAGTAATCTGCAGCACAGCTTGGTTTTCTTCAATATTTAGTTCGTCATTTCCATTTAGTAGAAATTCAATTTTGTTTCGAACATTTGAATCTAGAAAAATTTCAATTGCATTTAGCTCTGAAAGTTTTGCAAGTAGAGTTAGTCTTTCATTGATATGTAGGTTGCAGTGAAGGAAAAAGTGTTCAGTAGTTTGTGGTTTTCCACATTGACAGAGGTCATCCAAAATTCCAGGAAAGTTATGAGCATATTTATGTGATTTTAAAAGAAATCCTACTCTAAGCCTGTTCAAACTAATTTCATAAAATCTATCAATATCAATATTTTGACAATTTGTAAATATCTTTGGTTGGGTTGAGAAGTTTCTTTTGACATGATTTTTAAAGGTGGATATTGTTGGTTGACATCTCAATTCAAGTGGGAGTGAATTCCAAATATTTATGCATGAAAAAATACAGGAATTTCTAAATTTAGCTGATATATTAGTAGGTAAGTGAAAATCAACTGGATTTCTAAGTTGCATATGTAATCTGGTTGGTCTATATTGTTGAAAAATTTCTGATATATAAGATGGCATTTGACCTAAAGATAATTTGTACATAAACGTTGCTATGTGTGATTTACGTCGGTCAACAAGTTTGTCCCAATTTAGTAATTTCAATACCGAATTTGTATTTGAGCCATGTAAACACCCTGATACAATGCATGCAATTCTGTACTGGAGTCTCTCAACAATCAATCAGATGGTATTATTACACCAAAAGTAGTGCGAAAAAGTTTTGATGACATTTAAAGACATTGTTCCTCTTTCATGTGCATTATCTCATGGAAATGGGCATACCAGTGCAAAGATCTTTGTTCCGTGGTAAAGGAAAGCTCTCAAACATTGTCTGAAGAGCAGATCTAGCTCCGTAATTCTACTTTTAACATGGTGACCTTGACAACATATAGCCATTTGGGCGATAATAGGTGATTCTAAAGGGAAAATGAGTGCTTTTTTCGTAGTTTTACTTTGACCAAGGCTTGCAAAAAATCGAAATGATAAACCTACCCCCAATTTTTGGTATTTTTGTTGTCTAGAAGTGTTCTTGACGATATTAAAGTTTAAGAAAATTTGTATGTCTAGAAAAATTTTGAAAATTAGTGTCATTATGGCGGGTCTGGGTGGATTTTGCTCTCATTTTTTACCCATTTCCACGGTTGCCATGGTAACTCATACCTGCCAACCTACCTTATTTTAACGGGAATCTACCATAAAACTTTAGTTTTTCCATAAAAAATGACAAATTACCGTAAAAAATTTACCGTTTTTTCCTGTAAAAACGACCTTAAAAATCTACTGTAATTTTACCAAAATCTACCGTAAAATATTTTATTATGATTTGATTTTTTCTATAAGAACGGCCGTAAAATATACCGTAAATATTTGAAAATCGACCATATTTCTGCTGGAATTAACAGTATTCTTGTTAAAACTACCGTAAAATCTACCGTAATTTTTTGGAAATTCTGAAAAATTGAATTCTTCTCGCATTGCCCTTGTAATATTCCATTACCAACCCGAAAATAAATAGGTGTCGGCAGGTCTTTGACTGTGGTTATTGCGTACTTAGTAAGTAACTAAGTAAGCTGGCGTGTAATCAGTCAACACACTGGGGAGTATCGTGATGCAAAAACACAGTGTTCAACTACCACAGGTTCTACTATAATTATATAAACACTGAAGTGTTCAAATTGTTAGTATGTTTGTGAAAGAGTTCCAAACATGCTGTGCTAGAAAAACATACTTTATTATTTATTCATTGAAGTGTGTCAAAATTTACGCAAAATCAGCTTTTTTAATGTACTGCAAAAACTACAGCATTTTTTCAAAAGCTTCCGCAAAACTAGTTTTTCAAAAAAAAAGTTACTTTCGTACCAAATTAAAGGTGATTTCCTGGTCAAACTTGCAAAAATTGGTCCAAATTCTCACTTGATCCAAAAATATGTATGCGCGGCTAGATGTAAAGCATATCTGGTATGACTCCACCATTTTTCGAAAATATTAACACTTGGAAAAATGTTAAGCTTGAAATAAAGTAGTGAAATAAGGCAGTAAGGCATTTCAATGGGGACACCTAGGTGTGGGGCTGGGGCACCTTGGTGGTATTAAGTACAACCCTAGCTACCTTACTAAATCTAAATGTGTAAATAGCCTAACTATTAATAAACTCAACAAATTACCTAATCATAGGATGTCTCTGTCATCCCCGGGGGTTCACTGTATAAAATTTGGCGGGGGGCCTAGGCTGAACCCTCAGATATCAATATATTTCCATACCAATCTGTCAAATTTCAATGTGTTCTCATACCAACCAAAATAATGCCTTAAGCCATACCAAATATTCAAATATAAGACCAATGCCATACCAAATGTCCAAATATAGGACCAATGCCATACCTAATATCCAGATATAAGACCCAAGGCCATTCAAAATGTCTAAAGCCCCAATAAGAAGGCAGATCTTTGAGTAAAACGATCCAAAACAACCTTAAATTAAGGATTTGCCATACCACAAGTGAGATGTAATATATTTTCTATGACCATTCTCATACCAGAAAGTGGAAAAATCCAACCATTGCCAAACCTCAAGTCATAATTTGAGGGCATTTCCATACCAGATCCTAAAATTTGGGTCCTTTAGTCTCCTATGATGATCATCCTCATTCACCAAAGGAGCACGTAGCGCCCCCTGTATACTGTTCTGAGTCAGAGGAGGGAACCCTATTAGGGAGAAAAAAGGAAAGTAACCAAGCCGAAACGCACGACCAAACCATGGTGGTTTGAAAGCCCTCGGAAGCCCCTGAAGCCCATAGTTTACAATAATGTCTAGATCACCTAAAATTTGTATATTATACTCGATGATTTTGTTGTGGTTTTTATGTCACCAACAGAAGTGGTGATATGTTGTTATAGTCTCCAACTTCTTTGTGGATGGATTTTGGTAGTGGGTGCTTGGTGTCTGTAACAAATGACAGGTGGTGATATTTTGCATGTTAATACCTTGTTCAAATCATGTTGACTGACATGTTGTCTAACGTATTTAGGATTTCCTAAAGAAGGGAAAAAATGCATATACATGTACTGCTGTATAACCACAAAAATGACTTTATTTTGGTGACAAATTATGATCAACTGAACTTCAAACAAATGTGATATGATTACAAATGTGCAGTATGAATATGAATCGTCAGAGCATACCTTCGTTTGTCTACCCTACAATGACGCATCATTCTTATATGCTTTCGAAATAAGACCTTAACTTTGACATTTCCGCTAGTGTAACATGATTTGTCGACATTTAGAAATGATTACAAAATTAAAATAGACACAGCCAGACAAAATATAAACATATATTTTTTTTATTAGTTTACCATCATTGTTTGAAGTTGACAGCTCCGTGGAGCACTTGAATATATAACATCAGAATATAGTTGCCCCATGGGCTTTCAACCCTGGTTGCCCTAATCACTTTCTGTATAGCCAGTTGGTCATTGCTGAGATTGATAGTCATCTTATTCCTTTTTAATAAATGATAAATATTGGTGTTGGACCCATGAAAAGTAGATTTTTTAAATTGATTTTTTTTTTACTCATATAGGTCAGCTTGATTTCAAAAGACCTACTGAGGTCTGAAAAAGGACAATTTTCAAGGTCAGGGTCAAATTAGGTCATAAAACAATGTTATCATATCAGAAACAAGTCAAATTCTTTACTTCAGAGAATATTTTTAATTTATTGAGACTTTCGACTATGTTATCATAGTTTGATTCTTGTCATAAAAACACATTTCTGGTTACATTACAGATAATTTTATCAATCAAAAATAGGTTATTTATTTGCCTGATATCTGCCTAGATATAGGTATGTATATTTCCTTGATTGTTAAATCAAAAAAGATAGGGTTAAGACATGTCCTAGAAAGTACTCAAACCGCAATATTTGGTCATTTGTATGCTTAGAATTTCTTTTATACCATACACAGTCATTTCAGGTCAAATAGGGTTGATGAATACCTGGAGCAGAGAAGCATTATTTATGGGTATCATATACCATACAAGTGCCTTGTCAAGTTCAATACAAATAATATAATACAGTATTGTCCATACAAATTAATTGTTTGTTTAGCAGACTCTGAGAGAAAAAACACTGAACCATATATGTTTCTCTCATTTCTTTATTTGCAAAATTGAAATTATACAGGACAAAACAAAAATTCTCAAAAAAGGTTTTACCTGGGAGGTTTTATAAAGGCTAGCCAGGCAATGCTAAAAGAGACATTTGATTTAATAGATCCTTAATTAAATGTACACATGAGAAACCTGTAAAAATCATCCTATGAATTATTTCATGTTTCCATATTTTATATAAGGGAAAATATAGGTAATGTAATGAAATTAGCAAGTAATTACAGACATAAAGTAGATAATTTAAAATGATAAAGAAATGCAAGTACATAAACTGCTTTCACATTTTTAGAAAAAAATAAAATGATGAAAAGAGGTTTTGTATATTGTATATAGGAATTCCTTCCTGTCATAAACAAACCATCTACCTGTGGAATGCATCTGCTTAAAATCGCCATTCTATCCACAGTTATTTCATTCAAATTCTCTCTAAAATTTAAAAAAAGTGTTTGAGTTTCTGACATTTCTGCATAATATACAGAGTGTTCTCTACATACCCCAATAAATTATTCCTTGCAAATTCCTCCCTTTTTCAATATACTTTGCATTTAAAAGCAGTACACATATACAACTTTAATCGCAGGAACTGTCATGTCAATATTAACTGTGTACTAGACTACCTTAGTTTGATTCCAGAGAGAAAGGTAGGTATATGTATGTTAGATTTAATTTCAACAAAGATGAATGATATAATATAACAAAGAATGCTGTAAATCAAGATTGGTTGTAGACACACCCTTCCATGCAAATAGTGAATACAGATATTGCAATCAGTTATAATCAGGGCATCAAGAGTAGACTGAAAATTGAATAGATATACACCAGTGCATGGAGTATATTATAGCTATAAAAAGTGATAGTGACACAGTGGTAGATTCAGAGCATAGTAGGTAAGTACATTTAAGTACATGTACGCACCCTTGTATTACAAAGTTGAATATTAAAACAATAATTTTCATTTTTCACGTAAACTGTAAATAAGAAATATATTCTCTAAAGCTCAGCTCTGTGTTTAGCACAGATAAGTAGTATTTAACAAAATTGGAAATAGCAACAAATTCATTTTTATTCTTGGCAAGGCATTATAGAATATTCTGAGAAATTTATGCTACCTGTGCATGTAGAAATGTCACCAAACATTTTTAACTGTATACATATACATATGTTATCTGCTCAACCTGAGATCTCTTCAGATTCAAGAGCATACTTTTGCCAACATCTGATAAGGTTTTGGATGTGCTAGATTTGTTATACATATATAGTGACCATTTTGCTTATGGCATATTTTATGGCTAAAAACTCGTAAAACAAACATTTGGAAATTCATAACTTTGCCTAGCTTGCAATTTTTGTCATGTTTTAAGTTATGGCACCATAAATTGAAAAACGTCCACTCAATTCGAACATTTATATTCTAGTCAATTCATTCTAGAACTTTCATACAGGTGTGAGGAAAGAATGTCACACTGTGATAAGAATAAAATATTGCCTCATAAAATAAAGAACATGAAAAGTTATGTTGTGTTTTAGCTGTTACTGATATGAGTTTTTTTTTTATTAATCCATGTCACAGTATTGGAACAAAATTACAATTTTAGAAAGTTTATAGTTGAATACGTTCCTTGAAATGTTCAAGTTAAAGTATAAAAGTTAAATTAAAATTATCATGTCACTAATCAATTTCCTGTATTTCGGCCAAGTTCAATACTTTAAGAGTGGTCCAAAAAATCGATTGAGTTTATCATCTTCCTTCTTACGGTAATCAAGGTAAGCATTCACAAACTCTTCTTCACTTATCTTTCCATCAAGGTCAGTATCCATGTTGTCAAATTGCAGTTTTGCAAATCTCTTATCAAGGTTGAATGTGTTCCAAAACACCAGGTACTGGTCAAATGTAAGAAATCCAGTGGCGTTGCGATCAAGAGCCTGCAATAGAAATAAAAAAGTTGATGGCCCTTGTTTTCCTTCCCTTTCTGTTAAACACAAGGTTTAAAAAGTTGACGATGTGTGAAAATCTAAGATGCAATTTATATTTCTCCTCTCGATTAATATTCTAACAGAAGTTAAGTGAGAGAAATTAGAAGGATTTCTTTCTTTCAACATTGTGCACGTTTAAATGGAGAAAACAAAATATCTTTCAGAATCTGCTATCAGCAGGCAGGCCATATTGTTGCACAGATATTTAGTGGCTGTGTAATACATTCAGTTTTACCTTAAACATATCAGAATACAATTTGCAAATCAACTTCAATGCAGATGGATTATCTTTGGTCCTCCAAATCGCCACTAGCTGATCTGACATGGATGTCGATTGGACAATTTCTTCAAAGGGGTTATCACTTGAGTGCTTTAGTCCACCTCTGTAAAACTCTATTACATTATCTGCAGAATTTCCATCAAATTTACCTAAAATTTAAATTTACTGCTTGATTGTCAAATCAGATGTCATGTTAAAATTACCTAAAATTGACTGCTTAATTGTGGATATCAGATTTTCCATACAATTTCTTCATAATTAGTAATTACATACAATAAAGTTTGCCCCCTCTTATACAATATTACAATAAATTTTTCACCCTCTTATATGATATACAATATCCCTATACACCCCCCCCCTCCCTTAACTGCCTGAATGGAAACTGACTACTCATTTAGTCTCAGTAGTGCAAATGACAGTTTTATAGTTTGACCTTACCTTTGGCTTACCTATGATGCTAAGCTGAGTGATTTTTTATTTTCATAAAGAATTGTAACTTTTCTGAACACTTAAAGTTCTGCTTTATTTATTAATTTTTTTCTCTTAATTTTTGTTTTTCATTTTTTTATTTCTTAGATTTAGTAAAATTCACATATAGCTAAGGAAGGTGTGTCCGATTCCAGCCAATCAGAACAGAGTATTCACATTATGAACAGTGTGTGAAATATCAATAACACATGCAAGGTCACTAGATAAACAGTTGTCATGGTGATGAATGGGCTTTTCACATTGGATTTGATGACTTGCTAACTTGACCCTTGCTTGCAAAAAATTCATTGAAAATGTGTTCTTCTAGTGATTCCGTTCCATTTGGATGATTTTGTAGAAAAATTGCAATGTGTGAAAAGAACTTAAGTCCAAACTCAATGCATTGTAGCTGCTTCATTCCACTCAGGCATTGTTTCCTAAACTTTGCATTCCCACTGCGCGGTCATACAAAGGTTTGGAAACAACACCTTCGTGGTAAACAATGCACCTAGTCCAGGGCTTAAATCCTTAATTATATCATTAATGTTACTCACCAACTTGGATAAACTTATATGCTATGTTCATTACATCATCATACCCAACATACCCATCTTTGTCCAAATCCCAGGCATCAATCATCGTAATCATCTTCCGTAGCCATAATTGAGGCATTTGTCTGATCTGAAAATGTATAAATAAACTGAAATATACAACGATCAAATGCAAAAGAAACTGTGTCAAGTGACCCCCCCCCCAGACAACCATAAGCGCATTACAAAAAATCATATTCACCTCCGACTCAAGGAGGATTGGCTCCCAGGATCGAAACTCGATATTTTCCAACAATGAAAACGTCGAAATGTCGTTATTTTCTGAAATTAAAACCGACTATAAATTCAAAATAAACAGTTCAAAAGATTCGAACCAATATCTCGATCGTTTCTTGTGAGTTTTGGAATTTTTCGTTTGGAAATAAGACCAAAATTCACGATTTAAATGTTGAAGTGAACAAAATGGCGGCTGTTTGAATTCGAATTTTGTATTACGACATACCCATATATGGGACAGAATATCGGTGGTGCACTCTGGGAGCCAATCCTCCTTGCCTCCGACTTCTGTTTATCATCACAAGAGTTTTCAGGTTTATCAGCCATTTTGATATAGTTTCTTAAAGTTAATAGCAGAATACTAAGTTATCCAAGTTATTATACTAAGGTATTTCTTTACACTTGTATGTAATAAAACGATATTGCATATAAAAATGTTATCAAGGTTTGTTTTCATGTCTTTTTCACCTAAAATATATTTCATCTCTTTGTATTTAGGCTATGAGTCATGGATACATGACTCCCCTTCTTTACAGAGGCTCTAAATCTATTTGAAACCAGAGAATTTCTCATATTTGCCAGTTTTAGACATTTTACGTCATACATATACAGCAAGTGATGCTCTATTTATTAGTGAAATTAGTTGACAGAGATCAATTCTACACTTTTAAAAACATTTTTGTGTAAATTGGATGAAAATTGTTTAAATTAGAGCAATTTTATTAAAAGAATATATGACAGATTATCTCGTCACTCTAGGTTTCAAGGTCATCTCTTAGGTGACGGAAAATCTCGTCACTCTGAGTTATTAAGTCAAGAGGTTAAATTCATTTATTTTAGATTTCTATCTGATGCGAAACATATGTTTTCTAATCTGCGATCAGAATTGCAAAGAAGAGAAATGTGATGGTAATTTGCGATGAGCTGGTCTGACATTGCAAAATTTCGTCACCATTTCTCCTTCGTTACATACAGAAATGGTCCATTCTCTTTGAATAGGGTGTAATTCATCATTGAATAAATAAATAACAAAATGCCTAATTGCGTCTAGGCCAAATATGCAGGTAGAAAAATTGACTTTGATCAAAACAATATACCACTTGATCAGAATAAAAAAGCAATATTTGGGAGGTTAAGTTAGCACTGTTTTAAAGAATGTGACTGTTTGATGGTCCCTTAAGGAATCCTTTTCCACGAGATCAATTTCCCTGGGACATTAATCCTTGGGGTCGTAATATTACACTTTTTTGTTCAATGTGTAACTCTTCTCAACTAATTAATATAGTTAATTATCCAACAAATACATTTATTTATGGAAGTATATGAAAAAAATCTGTATTACATTTGGCACAATCGAAACTTCAGTTATTTGTCAGACTTCAAATATTTGTTTATTTACTCTATAGGTGAACAACTTAACAGTAGCATGAATGGCTCCACTTTATCTATTATAGTATTTGAATAAATAGTTTTTCAGTATATACAATACATAAGATTAAGTTCCTCCACTTTTGTATTCAAGATAAGAATTGCCCTTATATGGTTTGAAAAATTGAGGACAAAACTTCTTGAAATATTTGTGTGGTGATTTGTATTGGAAGGAAATGGTCATATATATTAAGTGATTTAAACCAGGTATTTTTTCATTGTTGTTTTGTCAACAAATAACCTTTGAATAAGTCATATATAAAAACTATCATTACGATTCTAACAGAAAACATTTAATAGATTTGAAACAAGACGTGATCTTTTTGGGAAGTTGAAACAGTTTTTAAAATACAAAATGGTGGTAAGTGAATTGCTGAATTACTGAATAATTTAAACAGAAAATGTTCTCATATTATAGTTGTGGTGGTTTGGTATTTAATCTGCTCTTCATTGGTTTCTCTCTACTCAGCTTGGATGGCATGTAAACATTAAAATACAAATGTCAAAATTAAAAACCAGCCAAATTTAAGTGCCCTGTAAGCTAAAATTAGCTTGGTATGGCTATGATCCATACTTAAAATTACATGTATAGTAGTTAATGGTTTTTCAAATGGTTCTTCAGAATATGTTAAAGTTTTCGATTTACTTGAATACACTCAACAGTTAATTGTTACGGAAATGGGAAAAAGGAATTTCATATTTGTAAGAGCTATTTGATTATGGTTATTGTAATAATGAAATTGTTAGATTTTATATCTAATTACTTGTATAGGATATAATGACACATTTACAGACTGTGTGTATTTATTTGCAGAAATCAGTGACTATGTCGGGTGCCCCTATTTGTCCCAAGTGTGGAGACAGAGTGTATTTTCAAGAGGAAAGAAGCGCTGCAGGGAAGAAATGGCACGAGAAATGTTTCAAATGTGGTAAGTAATCTGGATTCCTTTATTTTGAATAATATTTACAAGTTTTACCATGGATAAAGATATCCAGATACATGTAGAAACATTTTGATGAAAAAACACAATTTGGATCAGCAGAAAATGTTCAAGTATGGAGGTGTTCACCTATAAGAGCTGGACTGAATATGGGAGCTGAGTGGGAAAAATTGAAATAGAACCCAAGTATTCATTTCATCTATATCCATGAATACAAGTAGAGAGCAGTTTATTAAAATGATAACAGTGTTGAATGTAAGACTGAAATTATGAAAAAATGCCAAGAGGGCTATAATTTTCTATGTTTGCGTAATAAAACATGACTACAATGACATTTCATTACCCTGAATGACCATTGACTATTAATACTTCCCTCTAACTACCAAAAATGATTTTAAAGTTTTGTTGCTATGAACTTCATCAGAGTTTCAATGTGAAATGAAGCTCAGTGACTAATAGGTAGATAATGGTATATTGTGATTTTCTGACTATTCTGATACACTTTAAATCTAATTTATTCCTAATTTTATGAAGTTAACTTTTGGAAGGCTATCATTTAATGGACCAAGTGAGATGAAAATGTACAATATGCACAATCCTTTCCTTTCTAGATCATGTATCACTAGCTGTTGGTATGCATGTATATTGTGCAAATGCAATATGCATGTAACAGTGTATGATCTACTTACTCAGAATTGATTTTTTGATGCTATGATTTACTGGTACATGTTCTAAAAACATATTAGCTCTCGGTATGCCTTTTATAGCTGTATACTCAGTCAGATAAACAGTCCCTAGAAATGGATTGTTTATGTTTCATTCATTTATATATTTCATGGAATGATCACCTAATGGCCTTGAGTTCCTGTGACTGTGCACTAGTCTGTCTGTAGAACAGTATACCTTATTAAGTATTGTACCCTAAAATGCAAGATTGATATATGTCACCTTTTCCTCTTTAAATGAGTGATATAAACCACCGAGTTGTAAGAGCCAGCCGATTTCTGTATACATTTACAGATGGTTTATTGAGTAAACTTGTTTATTAAGGAAACCTTTACTCAGGAACGAGAAACATGTCAATGATTGGTTGAGGCTAAAGTGTATTTAATGATCGTTCATTGTCAGAGGATATGCACATGAGCTCAGGGTAACACACAAAGCATTCTATCTTATTCATATTTTATACATTTTCCATGTATTCCTCAAGGGTCTTGTAAACTCTGTGAAATTACATCAAAGGATCTCAATGGATACTTCTTAGTGGCTTTTATATCATTTATTAACACTTATCATTTTCTAGCAAATAGTGTTATCTGGAGAAAGTGAAGAACAGACTTTGTCATAATCTGAAATCAATACCTGACCATAATGTAATGCAATGTAGTATCATATGGGTCATGTTTAGAAATGTGAAATAAAGTAGGAATTAGTGGATTCACCAAGGAATAAAGTATACAGAGACAATATCTATACTCTAAATTGTAGAGAAATGCAAAAATATAATTTACTTCATTCAAATTTTAGAGAGAATTTTGAGAGATAAGAATGAACAGACTGATATTTTAAGCAGAAATAAGCCATTCGGATAATTGTGAGAAGAGTGTCCAGAGATATATGTGCTTTATTATTTAAGTTATTTATATCAGTCTGTATAGTTATTGGCCAAAGGGGGATAAAATAAAAAGATTGAAAAAGAAGTCATAAGTAAAAGGAAACACTATTTTCTAACAAATGATTAAAGGCTTGTATTTTGGAACCAAAATGTTCATAGAATATATATGTGCAAGTTTAAAGTCCTTGGAAAAGGCATATCAAATCCAAGCTCCACCCAATTACAGACTACATGTATGTATAAAGTATTGCATATTCCAAATACACATTGATGATTCAGTACAGTTATCTATGAAATTAATATAAATGTGACATGATATTTGAGTTGTTTTTTATAAGTGTTTCCTGTCAGGAACTGTTATCATTCTATACCATATTGCCTCTTTTTAGAATGAGATCATTTTTACATTGAAGTTACTGGATAGCATCAAATTGAGAATTTCAAATAATACTGTTAAGATTGTGTGGCCAAAATACTTTGAACACTTACAGTTCACAGTTTGCAAAGAAGTTTATTTGTAATTTTCATCAGTATTCAGTTTACAGGCAACTGACCCCCATACAGGTAAAAATAGTTATATATGATTATATTACATGTTCAAGATGACAATATTAAACTGTTTTTGAAAGATAGAAAGTTAGGAGAAAAGAAAGGAAGAAATATATATATAAGCACCATATAGCATAGTATTTCTAACATATGATATTTTTAGCAGTTAGATACATAGAGGGTACATGTAGATGATACCCCAAGAAAAAAGGTTATTCCCAATATTAAAAATGCTCAGTTTATATTATTCACTTTGATCAATATTCTTTAATTATTAAAAGGGTATATGTTACAGAAAACCTTTTATGGGAACTCAGATGATTTATCTATCATACTTATTTCATGATACTAATTATCCCAACGAACGAAGTTCGGTAGGGATATAGTGAAGCCCTCCGTCCGTCCGTCCGTCCGTCCGCAAAGAGGGTAAACTAAGAGGACAAATCAGCATAAGACCACCAACAGTAAGGGGAAGGGGAGAGTTTTCCGGCCGGATCAAAACGTTTAACCCACCTATGCGCAGTCTCAAGTCTGTGGACCCTGAAGAAAGATAAGTAACATCGCAATCAAATCAAGACAAAGAAAGAAGAAAATGAATGAAGAAACCAATGCAGCAACAACAAATGACGTCCGTCCGTCCGTCCGTCAGTCAGTCAGTCAGTCCGTCCGTCTGTCCGGAAGATAACTCAAATACCAGTAGACGGATTTTCTTCATATTTAGTGGAAAGATGTATATTGGTGAATAGTTTTACGCAAAAAACAGGGGGGACAGGAAAACAGAAATTTTTGCTAATTTTTAGATCTTTCTAAAGTATAGCTTTATTATACTCAAATGAAAGGGAATTAAGAGTAGATTGCAAATATTGTATCTTTTTTCTGATTCGAGCCTCGTAAAATTCAAAATGGCCGTCTAATGTAAGATTTCGCAATAATTTTTCGATCCCTTCAAAGTATGGCTATATTATACTCAAATTGAAGGAATTTTGGAGTAGATCACAATTATGGTATTATTTTTCAGATTTGTATCTCAGAAAATTCAAAATGGCTGCTTTGCAGGAATTCGCAATTCTAAAATCTAATTTTTTCAATTTTAACCAAAGTAATGAGTATAATTGATTGGAATTCGCTAATTGATATTTTGTTCGTTGGGATGTGCTACTCCGCGGAGTTGCCGTTATCTAGTTAATTATTGCATTGCGCATTGTTTTGAACCATTAGAAATTAGTATTATCTAATAAAATATTTATTACAACCGGTAAGGCTAATTCATTTTATAATCCAGAACAACTCCATATAAGGCAAATCAATATAAGATGACATTTTGAAAATGGGCTTATTATCCTTTATTCAAAGGAGATAGCTTTAGACACCTCTGAACATCTCACTTGTTCTTACCATGTTGATCCTTATATGATAATGATTACAGTAAAGTAGCTTTCATATTCATAGCCTTCTAAGTTTAAATATTTCATAAATGTCAGCTTTGTATAGGCAGAGAACAGTGACCCTAATTCTGATTGGGTAGTTGTTTTTCTGACTGACTATTCTAAGAATGTGGACAAAGTGCTGGTTTTGAGAAGTCAAGTTGAAGTATATTGATATTGTGAAGGGCAAAAAGTAGGAAGTATATGTTACCATAGCGACATAATACGTCTAAATCGACATAAATCACAATCAGTTGAATGCAGGATGCTCAGATACCAATTAGAATGTCATCTTCTAGTTATCTATTTATAACAGATTTATTCTTACAAAAAACTGGCATTGGAGCCTTTAATGAAAATTATGAAATGAAAAAATGAGAAAATGTCATGATGTTTATGTTTACACTTTTTAAGAGTTTGATTCCACATTTTTAAAAACAGCTTCAGCTTAAGTACTAATTTCTTATTTTTCTACTTATTACATTACATTATAATCTAAAGGGTTGGATAGGAAATAATCTTAAAATGGTGAGATAAAGAAAAAATGAAATAAACATTCTTGTAATAAATACTAGAAATTATATAGAAATACCAGAAAAACTGTTAACTGTTAGAAAAATGCATGAGAGACATTGTGAAAAACCATGACAACCCTTTTCTCCTCATGGCAGCCATGTTTTAAGTAAAACAGAAAGCTGAGTATCAGAATGCATGAGAGATGTTCAGTATACAGGCAGGCATTCGACTTACAAGAGGCTGGATATCCATTTAAATACATGTACATGTATTATAAAGTGTAAAATCTAATGCGACGTATGAATCGATAAAATAGTGTGTTTGTGTGAGATTTTCATTTGTCATGAGAGCATTTAGCTTCTTACCAAAACTAGATAGTGAGTTAACATTGGTTATGTGAAACCTGGCTTTCTCAAATAAGTTAATTCTTAGTTGATGGAGTGAACACTCCATGAGAAAGTGTAACTCATTCTCAACGACATCACGCTCACACATATATGATTGCTTGTTAACAAGGATACCAGTGTATCTATGGGTTTAGTCATTATTACTGAGCCTAGATTCATTATTAGCCTTTCTACATTCTGTATGTATATACATGTACATGAAATTACCTGATCCATCCATCATCTGAAAAATCTCATAACAATGTATCATTTAACAGGTAGGCTGAGACCACACCCATAAATCCCATTTCTGTTAAAACATATCTTTTACATTTTGCTTATTCTACATAATAGCTCATGAAAATTTGAATGGGTTGTCAGATTTAGTGGTATTTCTTATAATTCAAAATGTTGAGTTCATGCCTATTTCATGCCTTTTTCTTCTTCTTTCAGTTTATTTTGTATTTGGAAACATGTTCCCTGCATTTCATTTAAGGACACTCTCTCATTACAGCCTACATGTGGCTGTTCCCGAGGCAATTATACCATTGCATAGAATATCATGATCTTGTTTCAAAATGTGAAATAGAATTGATGGGATATATAGCAAGGAATAAAGTAGTGTTTGGGAACAGGAATGTTTTCCACAATTTATATTATAACGAAATGCTTACTATAGGTAGTTCTTTCAAATGCAAGGATATTACACAGAATACTAGTAGCATATTAACAGAACATATATTTATTTCCCTTATTAATGATGGTTACCTGTATTTTACCGGCGGGCAAGCACCCAGGCGGATGTGTTTATCCTACCACCCCTATGAAAAAAATAAAAGCGCCCGCCTGGGTCGCCTGGTCACCTGTAAAATACAGGTAACCGTTAATAATTGATATTAGTTTCTGAATTGTTGTTAGGCCAATCAAAGTAAAATTGATGGTTGGTTTTTATAATAGAAATATTCAATAACTACATTTTGGACATCAATTTATTTGCCATATTGGCATAGATTGGCCATATTGACATTTATTGATGTTGCATTGTGGGAGCCAATCCTCCTTGCTCTCCAATAAATTACAACATATAAGTATTCTTCACTTATGAATTAATCATTTACCATCTCCTTCCCTTACACCATTAATTTATTTATTTCACAAAAGTGGGGCACCATCCCATTAACTGATACCAGATACCAAAGACACAAGTCTAAATCCTTGTTTTGAGCATACATTGCTTTATTCCTTCTGTTTTAATGATGAAATTAAAGACTCCCTGGAAATTTACTCTTATGTATTTGTACTTTCAGGAAGTTGTAACAAAAGACTGGACAGCACAAATGTGACTGAGCATGAGGGAGAAGAGGGTATGGAATTATTCTGTAACTCCTGTCATCGCAAGAAATTTGGACCCAAGGGGTATGGCTTTTCTGGTGGAGCTGCAGGCCTCTCTACAGATGGAGGTTAGAAAATCAGCTGTTCATTTTGCATTAGTTTGTTAAATATTACCCCGTGCACAGTCTAGTTATAAACTACCCTCTGCCTAGTATAGACTATATTACAGTTTAAGAGCCCTGCCCCAAAGATTGGTGCCTGTGACAGACCGGGTTATAAATCATTTCAAATCTACCACGCTGACCCTTTCTCAACCAATCAGCGAACGCGTGCTAAAAATTTGCTCATTAACTATGCGGTGGTGTCATAGGAAATGACCACATAGAAAGTCATCCGTATTTTGACGACGTACTCTGATTGGCTCGGTGAGATCAGAGAATTATTGTAAACTGAAAGAGTGAAGACGAAGCTCTCTTTTAAGAAGCGAAGTCGAACGAAGGCAAAGGGTAGTTACAGATATATAAATGTACCTATCTTACATACATACCTACAATAGACTAAACAGGGAAATATAAAGTGGGGACTTAAGATATGATGCAAGATTAATGAAGCACATCCATAGAATTTAATTATGAAAACACAAAGGAAAGAATGAAGACTGTATAAAATAGATTTTCTTTTAGGTCAAATTTACTGTCCATAGCCTTTTACTGAAATTCAGGCTTCATGGAATACTATTTGAAATGATTCACAGGAAGGTACAGGAAGGTACTCACCTCAATAGAATGAAGTTACTTGTATATTAAAGTATATTGTACCCATTTGTTCAGGTGAAGCTGGCAACCGTAGTTCTTACACTGGCACAACTGGGGGATCCGTAGACAAAACCAACCCAAACAATTGTCCCAGATGTGGAAAGGCTGTCTATTTTGCTGAACAAGTACTGTCGTTGGATCGCAAATGGCATAAACTCTGCTTCAGATGTTGTAAGAAGTTTTGTGTATTTTATTTTTACCCTTGCAAAGTTGAGTGTTTGGACATAGTTTGAGGGTTGTCTCCCTCAGGTGATTGTAGAATACAAGTTGATATGAGAGATTTCTCCTTTAGAAAAAATAGAATACTTCTATGTTTGATTATGTCTAGAGCTTGGTTTAAGTAAGGAATATTTCTTCAAGGAGATAATGGGATATGGCCATGTATGGCTATTATCTTCTTTTGGTAAATTAATCTTTTTCGATCTTCCAGTAGACATTTATATTTATACCATAGTCCAAGCAATATCAGGTATAGCAATTGATAAATCAAGTACATGTATTTGGGATCGGGACATTGCATTCCATTGGGAAATATTGTTATCATATCCTTGTGATATTCCTCATATAAAAGCCCTCCTGGTGGATAACTACTTCATATATAGACTTGTTCATTTGTTAGATCAAAACAAATAAAAATGCATTTCATTTATAGTGGACTGCAACCGTGGCTTGGATAGCACCAATGCAGCGGGACATGAAGGTGAGGCATTCTGTAAGGGTTGCCATGGGAAACGTTACGGGCCCAAAGGTTATGGGTTTGCAGGAGGTGCGGGTACGGGTCTTTCCATGGACACGGGAAAGCGAGGAGAAGTCACAAGAGAGTAAGTTAAGATTTTAAGTTACAAACAGTATTATAACAGAAAAATAACCTTTTTGTTATCTTAATTTTATTTTGCCTTTTCCCCAATACAAATGGTTATCTTTAAGACATGACCATAACATTCAATGTATTTTAATGTAGATCAGGAAATAACTCGATTTTATCCATTTTTGAACCCCATACAAAAAAAATAAGTATGTTGCTCACGAATTATAGGAGTATGTACTCTATAGTGTATGGCAGAGTTGAAAGATTTACTGTATCAACTAAACTGATTTGAGTTTTATTGAAATAAGATATGCATGTTGTACTTGAATTATGTTTCATCATGTTTCATTGAGTATCTTTCTTTACAGTTCCAGTAAACATGTTGTTCACATTGCAAGTTATAATTGTACCTTTATTCTTTGTCACTATGTGTGTTTTTGTGATTCTAGTAATGTCCCTGCAACTGCGCAAGCCTATGCTGCACCCACAACTGAGCTCTCTAACCTGGATTTAAATGGTGATGCCCCCAAGCGCACATCAGTTGCGTCCAAGTTTGGTGGTGCACCCAAGTGTCCACGATGCACAAAGTCAGTCTATGCCGCAGAAAAGATCAATGGACCGGCAGGATCAGTAAGTATTTGTATAGCAATTGGAAAATAAAGGGATTAGACAAATAGTGATCAGCCAATCATTGAATCAAGGGGGTGCCACACCCAATTGAGGTTTTGGAAATATGCTTGAACCCACTTGAACACCCATCTGTACCCACTTGGAAGACAAAAAAATATAAAAGTAGGGAATAGATAAAAAACGTTCTTCTCTAGTGAGCATCCTTATGAAGCTAGTCAGAGACCATATAATATTTTTTATTTATGATGTTGACTCTATTTGCAGTTAGTTTGTAATCCCGAACCTTAGCTATAGATGAGTAGGGATTTGGCAGAAGTCCATTATTTAAGCAAAAAAAAGATCAAAAATGGTGCTTCTTGGTATTTTTGGAATGTGTATAACCTCTACTGCATCTTCTATGTCATTTTATGAATAAAAACATTTTTTGTTTTAGTCGTACCACAAAGCGTGCTTCAGATGTAAAGACTGTGGAACATCTCTTGAATCTGGCAAGGAGTGCTCAAGAGAGGACATCATATTCTGCAAAGGTAAGGAAGATTTCACATATTCTACATCTTGTTTATTTTAGTATTCAGTCATTACTTAACATACAGTTTATGTACACAAGTTTTGTAAATGTTGAACGTCATTCATCATCATCTTTTAAATATATATGTTGAGTTATTCACCGGTGAATAAAGTTCATGGAAAATGTGCTAGATGTTATACAGGAGCCCACAATTATTAAACTTGAATGGCTCTAAGAGGTTTAAGAGGTTTATCTCTACTTGTAAACTGATGAAGTCTTGTCCCTGGACTTAAGAACCCCCATTTGAAAAACTTAATTTGTTTGTGCAGTATCTTCCAATGAGGAGTGATCATAGTATTTTGTATTTTGTAGAGAATTGACATTGTTTTTAGGGGTTGTTTTAAAGCCACAAACTGAAAACATACTTTCAGTCTTTGCAAATCTGTTTTATTCAAAACCATTTAAATAAATGGTGACATTGCATTGAAAATAATATATGTTTATTAAGTTTTATCTAGCTTTTAAAATTTGCTTTAAATACCATTGATTGATATACATCTAGTAGTTAAAAAAGATTTCAATTTTTAGCTTATTTTTTTTAAAATCAGTTTTGTTGCTTATCAATTTATTAATTTTCCAGTGTGCTATTCGAAAAATTTTGGGCCTAACTGTATTGGTTATGGCCATGGGTCAGGTTCTCTGTACACCCATAAATAGACCATCTACCTCAGCTGGTAACCATGGTGATGGCCATATTGATTTTGTAACCATATTGTATTATAGTAGCCTGGACAGCTGTTTGATACCGTAATTCACTTTTCTTAATGCCATATGTCAAATATATTTCGTGCCAGTCTCTTACATTAGAGAATCCCTCTGTTTGAAAAAGGTGTAAATCTAGAAGTTCATGCTATTTTATAAAACATGTATATTAATATATAACATATTGTGCTGTATTCAAATTTATTTATGTAAAGACTCGAAATATTTTGAAAAATGTCAAAACCTCATGGCTCTTGTTCAACCTATACACATTCACTGTCCTGGCTACTATAGGAAGTTGCATGCCTGTTCATGTATATATACAAAGTAAAAAATGTTATATCATGTTGTATACTTGAATACGTTCAAATCATCATGATATATAAATATAATTTCTATCCTAAGTTTGTCATGATAGAAGTTATTAGATAATTATCCCAACGAACGAAGTTCGGTTGGGATAAAGTGAAGCCCTCAGTCTGTGGTCTGTCAGTCTGTCTGTCAGTCCGTCTATCCATCTGGAAGATAACTTGAATGCTAGTAGACTGATTTGCTTCAAATTTGGTGGAAGGATGTATATTGGCGAATAGTTTTAAAACTTTTACGCAAAAAAATTTTTCAAGATAGCTACCGCTTGAGAAATAATGGGAATATTTGGCGAAAATCTTAAGTTTTTCATTTTAAACCAGAGAAATTAATATTATTATTCCAAACTTTGGTAGTATATTCACAACATCTATCTTTGTCACATAAATTCCGATTTTTTCAGCCTGGCCCCCAGGGGCTGTGTGTGGGGGGTGGGGAAAATAGAAAATTTTGTTAATTTTAAGATCTTTCTGAAGTATAGCTTTATTAAACTCATATGAGAGGGAATTTAGAGTAGATTGCAAATATTATATCGTTTTTTCTGATTCAGGCGCCGTAAAATTTGAAATGGCCACTAAATGTGGGATTTTGCAATTTCTTCAAAGTATGACTACACTGTATATTATACTCAAATTGAAGGAATTTTAGAATAGATCACAATTATGGTATTATTTTTCTGATTCTTGCTTCAGAAAATTCAAAATGGCTGCCGAGCAAGAATCTGCTATTACTCTTCAAAGTATAGTTATATTATACTATATTAGATCTCAAATATTGTATTGTCTTTATGATTTGGGCCTTTGAAACTCCTCAGTGGTCACCCAAATACTTAAATTAGAAAATCTGATATCTCTCAAGGGTAGAGTAGATGGTAAATATTACATTGTGACATACATTTATAAAGATTCATGAATATTGTGATTGTTGGGATTTGCTACTCCGTGGAGTTACTGACTTCTCGTTGAAATATTGAGAACATTGCAAGATTTGAAATCAACATTCCTGGGGTCAAAATTACAGTAATTGTCTGTACATGTATTATACTGTACTATGTATTACAAAAATGTGTGGAATAATTTGGTTTACGATTATTAATTTTTTTATTTTTGGTTCTAAGAAACAGTCTGATACAGAATAATTTAAAGAACATATAACATACCTTTGTTCCAGATCACATAATTATTTTCCTTCAAAAATTATCTAAGCTTATACTCATACGTTACCTATCTACGTTGCATCATTGTTTTGGAATAAGAGACTCTTACACATATAATACTTTTTCACAAGAGTACAACAATCCATAAGCTCTTCAAAATACTACTACTGTAGTAGAAAAAATGCCATTGATTTCCACATCAAAAATATCTTCAAAAGCATGTAAATGGTCATGTCATGATGGTAGTATATTCCTCATAAGTTGTGTTTTTTGTACAGTAAGATATTCAGCCATTGTTTTTGCAATATATATATATATATTCATATTATGCATGGCATGGATTTTGTTTTTTTACATATTGATAGTTAAGCTTTATGAGTGTTATTCTTATTCTTTGTACATGTATATACTTTTTTCACCAATGCTGATCATTTGTTGTGTTTGTTTTGTACAGTAAGTCATAAAACAATTTCATCTAATCTACTGTTTGTTATTGCGTTCACTCAAATAACTAACATTTTATTTCAACATAAAGACTAATTTTTATTTATGTTGTGATTACCAATATATATATTAAGTTCTATTGTAACATATAACAGGCCTATGTAGTAGATGGATTTTATCATTTTAAATTGGTTTTGTTTTTAGGTTGCTATGGAAAGAGTTATGGACCCAAGGGATATGGATATGGAGGAGGCGCTGGAGCTCTTTCTGTTGAGGGGAAATAAAGGATACTTTAGCATCAGATGTTGCCATAGCAACCAGCAACCTGCCATTACTATAGCAACATGAATATCTGCATTTTTAATAGAAAAATATTTTCAGTGACAACCAGTAATTATAGCATCATAATAATGTATCATAGGAACTAGCCATAACTATTGTAAAACTCATCGCCATAGCAACCAGTAATACTATCACATTGGATCATGATTACATTAATAGAGCTTAATGATATGGTTTTATACATATTTAAAGTATATATGAGCTAAAATTGTATGTTAACCTCCCCCTTCACCCAGGAGGGCAGATATTGGGGGAGATAGTTTCATCATTAATGAAGCATTGGGACCACAGTTGAAGCCCCTTACCCATGTGAATAATAGTAAAAGCTTCAGAAGCTTTGAAAAAATGGATTTATATTTGAAAAAATTGTGACTCATTGTATACAGACATTGATGTAGTGTAAATTGTATTTTATGTTATTTAGCAGACTTAAGATATTTAGTGAAGAGACTCTGGTCATTCCAATGTATGCTTAAATATCAGAGAAGACATAATAGTTGTCATTCTATTTACAAACAGTGACAGTACTCTCCTGCAGGTTGTAGGAGAGAATGGAATATACAATTTATGTTGCATTCCATTGCTTGAGAACACACATTCTCAAGATGCAGACATTTACTGCTAGATGTTGTATATTAAACAGATATGAAGTAGTAATGTTAAGAATTCAGAGCTTCTAAGCAAAATAGTTTATAGACTGGACTGAGGACTTCAACTTTTGATCAACATAGTTCATAGATTGGACTAAGGACTGGACAGTGTCAAAATTTTATTATGAGCCAAATTGTCATTGGATACATAAGGACATAAACCATGACTGATAATGTTTTTATTGCATATACTTTATTTTCATCTTTACAAATGTTGGGGTGAATCCCATGCTCTGGACTATTTTTGTAGATATCTCAAAATTTGTTGGACCCTTTTCTAAGCCACATTTACAGTGATAACATTATTATTTAGAAAATAGTGTGCAATTAATCTCTTGACTGCCCAGAGTGACAAGATTTCTTACCACAAAATAAATATGTTAAAACCTAGAATGAGGGAGATAATCTGTCACAAAATTCTTTACTAAAATTGCTCTCATTTGAACAATTTTCATCCAATTTATACAAAAACAACATTTTAGAAATTATGTAATTTCACTTAATTGAGCATCATCTGTTGTATATGTATGTAATAAAATGTCAAAAATGAAAAAATCTCTGATTTCAAACCGATTTTAGAGCCTGGGATTCAAGAGATTAAATTTTTTATAATAAAGAACTCAAGGTATAGTAAATGTTTCATACAATGTAAGTATTTTTTAACTTCTTACATGCCTTATAATTTATATACATTCCATATATCATTTCCAATACATCAGCTTTAAACCATATATGTGTGATCCAATTCTCAACTTGAATTCAACCATTCCTTTTCCTCCAATAACATTTTCAACCTACAATTTATATACATTTCCAATCTACAATTCACTACAAGTTAAATCACTTGTTGCCTTTATCCAGTTATCTATATTTATGTAGTTGTAAGCTTAGCATGTACTTTTTATTGTTATATATTATATAAATCTAATGCTTTTTGATATATTATAAATGATTATATATATTTGGAAATTTAGTATATCAGAACAAGACACTGTACCTCAGTGATCTCCCCAGGATTTTTTCTCAGGTGGGTGCAAAATTCTCATTTTCACAATTCAGATGCAAATTTTTCATTTGAATTCAAGCCTTTTTTCAAAATCTCAGGTGGGTGATGCACCCACTTGCTTTAATGCCGGGGAGATCACTGTACCTTATATTTATAACATGTGCACGTTATTAACATAATCATATTTTTTATACAGAACAAGTTGTATATTCCATCAAATATTTTGGAATTCTGTTATATTTTAAAAGTTACTCAAACTTTTCCCAAAAGATGGAACTATTGTGTCAAGTTGTACATTCCATCAAATAGTTTGGAATTCTGATATATTTTAAAGGTTACTCAAACTTTTCCCAAAAGATGGAACTATTGTGTCAAGTTGTACATTCCATCAAATAGTTTGGAATTCTATTATATTTAAAAGTTACTCAAACTTTTCCCAAAAGAGGGAACTAATGTGTTAAGTTGTACATTCCATCAAATAGTTTGGAATTCTATTATATTTTAAAAGTTACTCAAACTTTTCCCAAAAGAGGGAACTATTGTGTTAAGTTTATATTATTTGTGTATCTTTGCATGCTTCAGTTTCTGTTCAACTTAAATAGTGTGTAACTTAAATACAGAACATGCATATATGCCAATTAAAAGCAATTATGATGAGATTCCCAAAGATGTTCAGTTCATGAAATATTGTGAAATATATTCTGGATGAAATCCTCGTCCTTTAATTAAAGTGCTCATGAAGCAAAGATATGTCATATATTTGTATTAGTTAATTGTGTTCTAGTGTTTGCTTTTTTCACTATTGCAATACGTAATCAAGAGTTTAGCATTTTATTTGTTAATCTTGTCTTACTTCTAATAATTAAATATGATTATATAATGATTGTATGTAGCAGTATATATACATATACATAATACAGTGGTATGTGGATAAGTAGTAGTCTATATTTTTCAAAGTATACCATTCCTTTCCTTCCATTCTGCATGGTATATCAGAAAATGAATGGAAAAATATATTTATATATATTTAAAAATCAATAAGTGAAAAATGTAATATTTGGGAAGGTATAGTTATATTTTGTTGGCTTATAATAATGTTAACATTAGATATTTTCTTTCTTTTGTATGTAATACTTTATGTTATGCAAATTAATAAAGGTGCTTGTACAATACAGTTCTGTTCTTGTTGAACTTGAATACTGATACAAAAGGATATGTAAAAGGATATATGTGTAATATACTTTTATTATGTCAGTAAAATAATTTCAAATAATTTCCTCGATTCAAGTATTTTTTCAAGATGATATCACTGTGAATATGGATTTGATATCAAAAGTTACTAATATCAAACCCACATGTCTAGAATACTTGTAATATGTACAGTAAAACCTGTATATAGTGAACACCTACAGAGCAATTAAAAAGTGTTCACTGTAGATATTTGTTCACTCCAGAAAGGGGGTTTTATACAGGCGCCAATGTAAAATCTGTTAAAAGATGTTCACTAATATAGGTTTTACTGTATTGCAATATATTTTGTCTAATGAGTTAAATGTTTCTATTTTACTGAGCCAAACTTTACAATGATTTATAACTTAAATCCCAACAAGTTATCTTGGAAATCAGTCTCTTGAGAAATTATCTTTGATTTCATTATAATTTTAGTATGTGAGGTAGCACCGAAAAATGTACCGGTGTCTGAACAAATTGAAATTACTTGTTTCCTATGTATTTTTATGTGATACTTCAGAAAATTTATGTCTGACGCGCCGTATCCGGGGCGAAAGTGGTCAAAATGGGGTTTTTGACCCTAAAAAGGAAAATTACAGGGGGGTACATTATCATCATTGAATAATTAATTCAGTTGATCTTCAATCATTATAATAATTTTATTGAGAGTTGATGAGATCATTCTGAGGTAGTATGTAAAGTTTCAATGGTCTGACACTCATGGTTGTCATGGAAACCACAATTTTTGATGAGAAGATCCATAATTTTTGTAAAATCTGTACCTTCACCTAATATAGAATGTGGATTATTTTTCAAATCAACAGATATCAAAACATTTTAGCATTCTCAAAATTACCAGGGGAGTTCAAACATTTATTCAAATATAAAGGATATTGCAATTAACATAACTGGTAAGTGTCAAAGACCATACAATTACATTAGGGATCAAAAGTGGGCGTCGCCCTTATAGTAGTAGATGATTGCCAATCTCTATAAATACAGAATTTTAGTTGACTTTTGAGATACATTTATAATGATGTTCTTTGGTTATACTTCATATCAAGCATTTTTGCTAAATAATGTACATCTAAGTGTTATACTTATTGCATGGGGGGAGGGGGTAGATGGGGGGGGGGTAACAGAATTGAAAGAGGGTAGAGCTAATCACCCTTAAGTACAAATCTCATCTCCATAGTTCTGAATTTCATGGGTTACATCGTCCGGGTCTTCTTCACATTCATCTCAATATATAGGATATTATAATTCTGCATGATTGGTAAGTATAAAGACCATAGAATTACTCAATTGATCAAAAGTGGGCGTCGCCCTTATCAAAGTCAATGATTCATTCTCTATAAATACAGTCTAACTTGACTTTTGAGATACATTTTCATTACAACTTCTTTGATTATACTTAATATCAAGCATTTCTGGTAAGTAATGCACATCTAATTGTAATAGTTCTTGCCTGGGGGAGATTGGGGGAGAGTAGTAACAGAATTGGGAAAGGGCAGAGGTAATCAGCCTTAAAGTAACTTTCTATGATTTCATCTAAAAATTAAAACCCTTGGAAATACTAAATATGGTTTAAGTGCCATATATAAAAATTAATTTTAGAAATATTGTGGATCAAAATGAAAAAAAAAATAAAGAATAAAAACATATTCCACCGGAGGGATTTGAACCCAGATCTTTTGGAATAAAACTCTGATAGAGCCCAAAGCTCTAACCACTACACCAAACTGCCAAAGCTTCCTGAAGGAAGAAATTCTTTATCTATATAATCATGGACGAAAAAAGTCTTATTTACATGCTTAAATTTCTTAAAAATGATCAGAATTACTACTAATAATAACATTTTGCATGTCTGAGTAAGTATTTTGATCAACATTTAGGATAAATGTTGTTTTATTCAGTTTTCATTTTGGGTATGACTTCCTGTCAAAACAGTGTTAAAAATGCAGGGCTCAACAAAAATTTTCAATTAGAAAATGATATATATCCTTTGATCAGCTGTTTTTGGCACCTGAACTCATCCTACTAGAAAGGTAAGAGCATTTTCTTAAGACATATGGCTCGAAATCTCACATTTCTCCTTCTAAGTCTTAGAAAGACACTTTAAGTATAAATCTCATCTGCATAGTTCTTGATTTCATGGGGTACATCGTCTGGGTCTTCTTCATATTCATCTCAATATATGGGATATGACAATTTACATGATTTGTCAAACACCATACAATTACATATTAATAAATGATCAAAAGGGGGGTGTCATCCTAACAATAGTAGATGATTGGTTCTTTGTATAAATACAAAATTGAACTTGACTTTGAGATACATTCATAGTTATACTGAACTGCTGTTATTTTAATTTATGTCAAGCATTTCTGGTAAATACATCTGTGTAAGTATTATAGTTTTTACATTGGGGCGGGGAGGAGGGGTGAGTCGTAACAGAATTAGAATGTGTAGATCTAATCTGCCTTAAGTATAAATCTCATCTTCTTAATTCTGGATTGCATAGAGTACATCTTCTGGGGTTTTCTGATTCCTCTCCTGGTGTTGCTATATCACCAATCTCTTATCTGAGAATATCAGTCAATACCCATTATAAAGATGGAGTCATCTAGTTTCCATTCAAGTCCATCTGGTGGTTCAATATGAGGATTTGCAATATGGGCCATACAGACAATAAGTGCTTTTTATGGATGAGATGGTTACAACAATCAGGCGGTCCTTCATAAGACAAACTTAGGAATATTATCTAGAGATAAGATGAGTGTGACACCCATTATGACCTTGGAAAGGCACAAATATCAAGTACAGAAAAAGACATAGAGTTTCTTGATCCATTTACCATTGAGGTCTATCATAAGGAGAATCTGTGCCAAATGATGTCGCTGTCATCTAATTTTAGTCAAAAGGAAAATTTGCGATTAGTTGAAAAAAAGAGTTCACGATATAATAAAACATATGAAATTGAAAACTACAGCAGTAAACTACAGCAGCAACAGTGACAGTAAAAAAGTACTCAGAACAAGCTTATAAGATGGTTCAAATTCATTCTGATTCTGAATGAAACATCTTTGAACAGCTTCGATCTTGCTTAGGAACATAAAATTAGCCTAGAATGTCTCCTGCAGTTCCTATTGAGCCCTGTGCCTTGGGCTCTAGGTACACTGACTGGACTTCTTGCAAGAACAGAGAAACCCATTCCTATGCATGAATAGGAAGATTCTACAATTGCAGATTGATTAGTTTTTGTATGTGATAATTACATCAAAAATTCTATAAAGGAACCTGAAAGAGGGGAGGGACACCTTGCCCTATTTAAGGTTGAAAAACAAGAGTCCCTAAAGATTGGAATGAGTTCTTGTATGATGATGAAAACAAGAAGCAAAATACAGCAAAGTGTGCTGCTGGATACTTGAGTTGGAAACAAATGAAGACTGATGTCAGTGGTATTTCCTCCAATATAGACCCTGACATATATGCAGCCTTCCTAGCACTTTATACATTCACAGATGAAGTGTCATGCAGAAAGGGCAATAGCAAGAGCACCTTTTTAAAAGGCAAAAGTGGGGCGCCATATAGACACATTCAACTGAATGATTCTCAAGTCTGCAAGTGTAGTGGTATATTCTTCCATATGAAAATGATCAGACTATGATATTAATACTTAAGACTGACTGGCCATTGGCTCTGCCCCCTCCCATTTCTGCTACTACCCCCCTTGCCTCCCCCCAGGGAATACCTATTACAATATTAAGTGTAATCAAAGAAGTTTTAATGTAAAAAATATATCTTAAAGTAAAGTTAAACTCCATATTCATAGAGAATGAATTATCTACTATTGTGAGGGCAACACCCACTTACGTAATTGAATGGTCTTTGACACTTACCAATCATGTAAATTGGAATATCCCATATATTGAGAAGACGTGAAGAAGACCCAGAAGATGTACCCAATGAAATCCAGAACTAAGTAAATTAGATTTATATTTAAGGCTTATTAGCTCTGCCCATTTCCAATTCTGTTACTCTCCCCCCCCCCTCCCCCAGGCAATAACTATTACAATTAGATGTATATAACTTACCAGAAATGCTTGACATTAAGTATAAATCAAAGATGTTTTTAAGTAAATATACTTCAAAAGTCAAGTTAAACTCTGTATTTAAAGAGAATGAACCATATACTATGATTAGGGCGACGCCCACTTTTGATCACATGTTTTATTCTATGGTCTTTGACACTTACCAACCATGTAAATTCTAATATCTTCTATATTAAGATGAATATAATAAGACCAAGAAGATGTACCCTATGAAATCTAGAACCATGAAGATGAGATTTATACTTAAGACTGATAAGCTCTGCCCCCTCCCAATTCTGTTACTACCCCCCCCCGTCCCCCTCTTCCCCCCTGTATCCCCATGCAATAACTATAACACTTAGATGTTAAAATGCTTCATATCAAGTATAACCAAAGAAGTTCAATATAAATGTATCTCAAAAGTCAACTAAAATTCTGTATTTATCGAGAATGGCAATCATCTACTACTATAAGGGCGACGCCCACTTTTGATCCCTAATGTAATTGTATGGTCTTTGACACTTACCAGTTATGTAAATTGCAATATCCTTTATATGTAAATAAATGTTTGAACTGCCCTGGTAATTTTGAGAATGCTAAAATGTTCTGATATCTGTTGATTTGAAAAATAATCCACATTCTATATTAGGTGCAGGTACAGGTTTTACCAAAATTATGGATCTTCTCATCAAAAATTGTGGTTTCCATGACAACCATGAGTGTCAGACCATTGAAACTTTACATACTACCTCAGACTGATCTCATCAACTCTCAATAAAATTATTATAATAATTGAAGATCAACTGAATTAATTATTCAATGATGATAATGTACCCCCCTGTAATTTTCCTTTTTAGGGTCAAAAACCCCATTTTGACCACTTTCGCCCCGGATACGGCGCGTCAGACATAAATTTTCTGAAGTATCACATAAAAATACATAGGAAACAAGTAATTTCAATTTGTTCAGACACCGGTACATTTTTCGGTGCTACCTCACATACTATTTAGTTGAAATCATTAATTTGAACAAAAAAGTTGTTTTCCATCTGCCTTATATTGGTTCTTGCTTCCTGTCTGCATAATAACATTTGTTTACACTACAGGCTGATTCACTGAGGCCCAACTGTAGATTGAAGACCACATCATGGATCTGTTCTCTGTTTACTTCTCAGCCCCCTTGCAGATTCAGAACTTATGGTATCACTGGTATCTCTGCAAAGCTTAAAGTTGCAGACCTAGACTTTTATTTGCATGATAAGTTCAGACACCCGTTGGGTATTATTTTTGGGCTAGGATGATCTCACAAAATGTATGGTCTCTAAAATTTCTACTATTTTCAAACCTGTGTTTCCCTCCAACATTGGATGGGGTGGGGGGGGGGGTATTTTGCAAGTTTGAGGAAGAGCTAATCTTGTCTTGTTTTACAAAGGTCTATACAAATGTCTGCAAATGTGGAAAACATTCATGTTTTTTACCCACTCCTGAACATGATTTGTAAATAAGCCCTTGACCCCGTAACACCAAAAAAATGTAATCAACTATTTTTCACATCCGCTGACATTTGGATTTGGCCTCTGATTTATCTCAAACTTTTTACTTGATCAGAATAACTCAATCAACTACAGAGTGGGCCTGTGGCTTTAACACAATTACTGGAGAATGTTAACATCTATTTTTACCTCAGGTGAATCCACCCACCACACTAGCCTTATAAGTCAAATATTATACAGCTATCATTTTGCATCAACAACTGGTGGCTTTATCAAGGCCAGCCCTTTAAGTTCTCAAGTTATCTCAAAAGAAATCAACTTTGGTTGAGCTAATTTCACATTTTCTCACTAACATTTGAATGAAGTGTGAAGTTTAATTACATTTGTGCACAATTTGGATTATTTTTTGCCAAATTCTGTCTGTTACCATATTTTTCTCACTATACATTATATTCCTAATATCACATATATAATGGTGATCTTTTTCTTTGAAATTAAGCAAGTTATAAAGTCATCAAGCATTTAGACCATGTACCATCAAATACCGTTATTCATATTCACTATATTATGATGGGAATTAAAATGTTTTGATTTTATGAAAATTGAGATGGTTGATTTCATGGCGATTGATATCCAATAACAATAATTACCTCCGTATCTGGTGGTTCAACATTATACTCTTTGAGAGAGACAAAAAAAAGTGAATCCGAAATTTTTCACCACAAGTGTTCATTTCAGGTGTCCATCTTGTGTGTTTTCTTTAAATGCTTTTTCAAGATAAGAGCAACTCAATATAGTCAGTTCAAAACTGTGCAATGCTATGAAGTAAGAAATGCAATTGACTTTTGAGTTATCATCACACTTGTTATATTACTGATACTATTTATGCAATAAGACCCTCTGTCAAAAGGCAGATCCCTGAGATATTTTAATTCTAGAGATTATAATTTTTAGTGTGGCCTCTTATATACATCTTTATTTTTTTTCAATGCCTCTCTTAAATGTTCTTCCATCTCCCTAAGATTAACCTGTTACCATGGCAACATAAAGTACAGTCATAGATGTGGACCGTGTGCAAATTTTTTAAATTTAAACTGGGATCATAGTTCTTGTGGGCTTATTGTTGGAAACCTTCATCTTTGGATAAACTTGTTGGAAATCTCACCAAACTTTGTAAGTTATTTTCATTAATAGTGACTGGTATCACAATGATGATTAATAATATATAATATCTTGGTTGATTAATTGTCTAATTAATCATGTATAGTATGAAGTTTTTAGGATGTTTTAAGATACTTATTAATAAGTTTATGCGAGGAATGCTCATCAGCAAGATTATAGATTACATAAGATATACTTTTTGATTACTTTTTGTGCCTTGGAATAATGCTTGATTTTCCTGTTTTGAAAAATATTACGTCCCAATACCAATTTAGTGAAAATTTAGGACTATTGAAAAAGCCAGGCCCATTTTCCAAATGAGGCCCATTTAAATGTGTCTGGCCTTATTTCTCTGGCCTTGCCTCTGGATTCTATTCCCCACTCTTGATCAGCCAGTGGTAGGTGCAATGGCATCCTATATCTTGAACAGATATGATTGAAAACAGATCATACATATTCCAAATACTCTACCATCTAACCAAAGTGACCATAATCAGATAAACTGAAGCATGAGGAGTAAGAAACCAACCATCCCCTCCTCCCTTACCACCTAAAAAGGGGGGTCAATGGCTTACTCCCCGTGAACTTAAGCTACAGATAAAATACTTTTGAACTACATGAAGAAAACTAAAGAGATGCAGACAATGAGATGCAGAGAAAAACATACTTCATGTTTCTGCCAGTTGTTTACACAATGTAAAAATAGAACTGTCAGATAACGTAAAGTTGAAGGGCAGTATTCTGATTTTTCTGACACACCCCCACATGTTAGTGTGGATCTAGCTAATAATCAAGAGGGCTGCCCAAGAGGGGGCAGTGAGGTCGCTTTTGTCACTTTTAAAATTTCAAAATTCTCACTTTGTCACATTTAAAATTTATTTGTCATATTTTGTCAGATTCATTCCTTTTTAGTCAGTCAAAGCATTTAATGCACTAAATAGTCTGTTATGTTCCAATGTTTGATTGCTGGTTAGAATAAGTCATCTTAACTAGCATCAATTTACATTCAGAACGAATTGTCTATTTTTGTCACTCTCAAAACACGTGTCAGTCCGATAAATGTACAAAATTGTCTCTTTCAAGCATTTATTTGTCACATTTGTTCGTTTTTAAGTACCCCAAAGTCCCATTTAGTCACATTTTTAGAGGCCAGGTCGCCTTATCACATACCCCTTGGGGAGCCCCATCAAGGATATGTCAGATTGTTCCCTTAACAAGAGTGACAGATTTTGTTAACATTCTTAAATTATGAATTCTCAAAGCTGTATTTGGAGTCAGAGGTCTTATCTATATGTCACGCATACATTATACTACATGTGGATGATCCAAAGATGCAAAAATAAAGGTTCAGTGCTACTAGTAAAAGGGTAGTGTACAAACTGATGTACAGATTGAGATAAAGGTGGAAGTAATTGAAGAGATGATAAGAACAAGTAGTTTGTGGCTTGTTATAAAACTAGAAAATAACAACTTTGAAAACATTTGAACAAAGCATCAAATTGATATAAATCACACTCTGTCTCCCCTACCCCAACCTCAGAAATTTTATATGTACATGGTAACAAAAATCAGAAAAGATCTCTTAAAACTTCAGCATTCCATAAAAAATCACTGACACTTTTGTATTGCCTTTATCAGAACATTAAAGCAGTAATGGTATTTGCTAACAGTTTGCATAATAAACAAAACATAGCAAGGTTATTTTAGGTACAGTTTTTACATTAGATGGGTTAAGGTAACCATGGTGCTGCAGCATAGTAGGCATAATTCTCCTAAATTATTCTGGCATGTCTATTCCTTCATATTAGTGGTATGAAATGATGAGTCACCTGCAATAAATAGGCACTGTGCTGCACAAACCTTCTATAGAAAATAGTGGTGTAAATCTACATGACATATTTCAAGATAAACAATCACTCCAAGGGGTAACACCTCTTTGAAGCATGCCAGAATCAATGTACCTGCATATTGTAAATGTGGCCAAGTCCAAATAAATTAATTTACAAGTCACAAATATTTCTTACATTTCCATATTTCAGAACAATGCCTTTCAAAGTGCAAATCGACAAATGTCCCGTGTGTGACAAAGCTGTTTATGCAAATGAGGCCAGATTGTGCGCTAGTGAGAAATTCCACAAATACTGTTTCAAATGTAGTAAGTATAAATTATAACTGATTTTAAACAAAATAAGTTGAAATATACACATAAACAAGATACACAAAGATATAATTGTGAAATTCCAAAATTGTTGGACTTAACCATGTTAACCTGAAACTATTTTTTTAATATGCTTATATGGTATTTCCTCAGAACAAACAACAAACAATTGATTAGAAATCTGAGAATCGGATTGAAGTTAAATTTTCAAAAACCGAATACTTGGATTTTGTTCTTGAAAGTTAAATAAGTAATCACTACCATTTGATTTTGATCTGGCATTAACCATCCACAATACTGAGAATATGAGTTTCCCAGCATTTCAGAAACAGAAGTTGTTGTAACACAGTGACCAATTTGAACATATAAACTATACTTTAGGTATGTGTGCCAAGATGTTGGACAGTACTACTGTAGCCAACCATGGTGTGATCCTCTATTGTAAGCAATGTCACGGTAAGAAGCATGGTCCCAAGGGCTATGGCTTTGGGGGTGGTGCAGGAGCTCTCAGCATGGACCAGGGAGAGCGTCATGGAAATGTTGAAAGTGAAATGGGGTATGAAATGGATTCACTGTTGCTAAGTAATATAACTCACAAGGTTATTGATTAAGTAATGTACAAAAAATATTGGTTTAAATTCTAAAAAACTAGTTGAACAATAAGTCAACACTTCAAACTTATGAGAAAAAATTATTATGGAATCAACTATTGCATGACTGACTCCTGGTATTATTTGAACATTTCATATTTTTTCTTCCAAATTAAATTACTTGAGAAAGTCTAAATTATAGATAATTTTACAATTTTAAAATACTTTTAGAAAACACTTGGTATACTGTATTATTTATGTCCCAGAAACAAACCCACTGAGGTACATGTAGGTGCTGCAACTGCTTGTGTTAAACCTGAAGATGGGGGCTGTCCAAGATGCGGCAAACGTGTCTATGATGCTGAGAAAGTTATCGGAGCTGGATGGGTAAGTCACCAAGCTTATTTGATATAGTTGTGCATGTGTCATAAAGATGGCGTAAGGATACCAGATATTACCAGTCAAAAGTTTATATAGGTGTAGTAACAAAATATATGTTTTGATTTGCATGTTGATGTTGAAATAAAGAAAGAGGTTTTTGCAAAATTTGCATTAATGAAATGATGAACAACTATTCAACTTATCTCAAAATAAGCCAATCTCGGATATTATGCAGTATTCTTTTGGGGATCAGGCGAATATTTCGAGGTTGTTCCAAATCATAATTAATTACATTTCAGATTGGCCCCCTCACTCCCATTGAAAAAAGTAATTGAAGATTCATTGATAATTTTCAAATGGAGATTATTCCTTTTAAAAACCCATAAGTTTGAACAAAAAAAAACATAAACTTTTACCCCCTCCCTTAATGAAAATATGTTTGTGAAAGACTACTTTGTCCCTCGTGCTGTCTGATACACTATGTTTTTACCTAAACATTACGTTTAAATTATGATATATTTTGTAAGACATACAGTACAGTAAAAGCCTCTGCAAGTTGAACACCTTAGGTATCTCAAAATATTGTTCCACTTGGCAGGTGTTCCACATAAAGAGGTTCATTTTTAGATAAATGGGCAAGACAACTTTGAAGTGTTCCACCTATGATAGTGTACCACTAGCCTTTCCCAAGTCAGTCTCTTACTTATCTTGATTTCTATTATGGCTGTAATAGTTCAAGATCAGATAAGTACAAAAATACCAACTTGGGCAAGGCTAGTGTACCACTTACAGGGGTGTTCTACCGTACAAATTCTACTGTAATTGTATTCTAGGGTTGGCACAAGAACTGCTTCAGATGCAAGCCTTGTAACAAGTCCCTGGATTCCACTACATGTACTGACAAAGATGGAGAGCTTTACTGCAAATGTAGGTTTCATTTCAGGCTATACATTCACCAGGGGCCAGTTTCTAAAAATTATAAATTGTACTTTGTCAATCTTTTTTCATTTATAAGATTTATATGTTTCTACTGAATCTTGAAAAACAATTGAAATTGTAGATTTCAATCCAGTCCTTCGCCTTATGAAATTTTGTTATATTTCACAATACTTCATGAGAGGAAATTGAATTGAATTGAATTGAATTCAGGAATAATGATCAACAATATCCTCAAGAAACTGACCCTGGCATTTTACGAAAGAGCACAACATTGAAGGAAAATATTTTGAAAAGAATTGAACTGTTAATGAAAGTCAATATCTGTATGCAATAGGGATTCCATTGGAACACATCATTGCAAGATAAACTTGGCTTTGTTGTCCTAAACTGATTTTGGTAAACAAGCCTTTAGTCTAAATCCAATCAGTTTTCTATATAAGAACTATTTTTGGATATTCACTTATTTTGTAGCATGCTATGCCAAGCAGTTTGGCCCCCATGGCAAGATCTAAGCTGTCCAAAGATGAAGATCTGATCAAGATAGTACCATTAAAGACATACACTGTAAAACTTGTCTAAGTTGGTCTCATCTCCAACAAACAAACCAGGGAATGATCGGAATTACAAGTTTTCAATGCCAGCTGAATCCCAGAATATATAACATAATAATGACAGTCAATATGTAAAAGGAAATGAAAGATAACAAGATTGTTGGACAGTAGTTTTTAACAACAAATGCAGAAAGGATCATCAGACAGGATTTTAACGTAGGACTTGTAAAACTTTTGCCCACCAGGTTTTGATAAAACATGAAAGTCAATAAAAATAGAGTCTCACGAGGACTGAAAAGTGTTTAACTGCATGAGATGTACACGTTCGATTTACAAAAATCAGATGTGTTTCATTACAAAAGTGTTCAACTTTAACAAGTTTCACTGTATATGGATAATAGTACTAAAATCATACTATAGAGGTATAATATAGACTATAGTTATATAACAAATATGAAACTAATAAAAAACTACTATTTATTAAAATCTATCCTTTATTTTATACAAATCTGATATGTGATGACATAAACATTAGCTGATCAGTAAGCTTATAGCTTAAAATGCATTTCAACATATGCCACTGCAAATTTTCTGAAATACTTTAAATCTTATGTATATTAGTTTTCTATCTCTAGAATAAGTCTTGGATATATATGTAATGGAATATTTCATTTGTTTATCTGCACTATTTATAAGTACACATGCTTGACTTAAATTCAGCTTTTCAATAAAATATTTGAAATACTGAACATTTGTAGTTTGTTTCTAAATGGTATCCCCTCATTATGCATTTGAGGCTATTAATACATGTTTTTAAATTTATAATGATTACAAACTTGAAACCTCACTTTCAGTTTATTTTTGATAATCATAAATACATGGAAGAAGGGAGGGTGAGATATTGTATGTGAAAAGTGCAAACTATAAAATGTAGAAAAATAAATGTTATTATTTGATCAACAGACACAGCTCACATAGTATGTAGGATATATTGCCTTTTAAAATTGAAAAATGTGAGAGCATTATTTTTTGGAAAAAGTTTTATTGATATTTTCAGAAAATAAGGTATGTACCAAAATCTATAAATGGTCAAGTAACAACTATTTTTGAAGAATGTTGACAAATGATATTTACCATTGACTAACTGAGTAATGTTCCAATGATAATGGAAATAAACATTTAAGGAGCTAGAGTCCAATAAAGCATCTGAAATGTACATTGCCTACCTAAACGTCTCCGGATAAATATTATAAATACATGTACATCATTTATCTGCATATAAATCATTAAAGCTAGCAAAATTTGTGAACAAGTAAACTGTTCGTAAAAATTGAAGTCGATTTGTGTACCTTGTTGTAACTTGAGTGCACAAGGCCACGTGTCTAAATTTCTGGTTCACTTTCACTTGAAGCACCTTCAAAATTACTACTTGTTACGCTTGGCCTTAATTCATTTTTTGATTCATCAATTGTTAAAGAGTTGTGTCCATTAAGAAATACCTCATCTGAATCAGCATTCTCCATCTCGTTATCTCTATCATGTGTACTACTAGTAACACATTTCTGATTCGTTTCAACATTAGCATTACGCTTATGTCTATCATTATGGGTATGATGATCTATGTCGGTATCCATCAGGAATGGAGACGGGAAAGTCTTTTTATTTGATCTTTGCGGACCAGCCACAATAACAGACTGCTTTTGATATCTTGAGCTCTCTGTGAGGGAATAATCCATTGGTTCTGATATCTCATCTGTGTTTATTAATCCAGATTTCAACGCATCATTTTCTGATATTGATGTCGATGAGTTTGAGCTGAGTTCGGGGTCCGATACAGAACCTCCTGTTTCAGTTTCTATATCCTGCTCCGATTCCTCCTGTTTAATATTTTCGCTATTTTCACTTGGTCCGGTTTGATTAGCTGCTGCATTTTGTTGTCTCAGAAGTTTAAGTCTTTGAGCATATGGTTTAGCACCTCGTTGTCCTTTAACTATCTCACTGGGCTTCTTGAGGAACCTACAACCAGTTGGCAATGTACAGGGTAACACAAAAATGGAAATCATGAATAAAAACATCCAATCATCAATAAACAAGACACAAAACGGACAAAATATGACAACTCAAAATCTCAATTTTGATTACCCAAATTTAATAATTTTTGAACAATTTGAAAGGTCACACTTCCTATAGATTTATTTCTCAACAAGGGGTAAATTCTAAGTTCACTTGTTTGACAGGACTTCAAACAGATTTTCAAATAAGGGCAGTGTCTGAATTTTCAACAGGATGGCATGTGATATCTGAATTTCCCACAGAGTGCGGAGGAGATCACTGAAAATTGACACTTAATGTCAAGAAACCTTACTGACAATCAAATAAAGAGATAACAACATTAACACACTATATCATACTTACTTGTAAGTCAGTCTCTTTTGTGGCACTTTCTGTATAATCCCCATCTTGTAATAATACCTTAGTGCTCGGGAAAGCTTCTCATATGTCATCGTTGTTCGGTTCTTCTGTATGCCCCATAGGAATCCTAGACCCGTAGGATTAATAATGCGAAATGTAAGGTCAGATTTATCCTCCCAAACTACAAATTCGTGATAAAGATCTGGACGGTCAAGCATGATGCTGAGAAACTCCCATAAGAGTTTACATTCTGAAATTACACATAAATGTAGAAAAGATATTTTCAAGTTTTATATAAATTATAATTGAATATACTATAATTGAGTATACACATATAGCCACAAAAATGGATATTCTTTACATATCAACTATCCAGGATACCAATAAATGACATCTGTTTTTAATTCAATTGTTCTGACTTTTTCTAACAATATTTTAGCGATGGACTAAAAAAACTGGTTGACATGGGCAATGGACTGATTGCTGGTCTGACAAATTGAAGCAATCCTCTTTTCAACACTTGCGTAAAACCCTAGCTAGGTAGAATCTACTTACCAACTCCTTTAAGTGGCTCCAAGAGTTTCTTATCGTGTATGAGTCGTTGGAATAATTCTACATCAGCTTGTGACAATGATACACCTGGAGCTATCTGGTGGGTGCTTCTCATGTCATCAATAATGAGATCTGCAATGAAAAAAGAATTTCTTATTTTATTTTCCTTGTTATCTGACTGGACCTATGACACAAATACATCCTTTATATCATAGGATACAGAGTCTATTTACATGGTGAATTCAGTTACATTTCATGTTTTCTCCCACTCGAAGTCTTTCTTGAGAAACTGTTTGAAATATCAGATACACCCATGCCCAATAGTTATAAAGTACAGACATATTGAGCTTGGTGCGGAAAGTCACTTTTATTTGCTAATTTCTCCAGCCCCCATGTTATTTCAATGGGAGTTTTTATCAAAAATTTTGGGTGGGAAGTCGATGTGAAGACATAAGTGCACAAGTTAAATTAGCTGAAATTGATAAGTTTGATAATTATCAAAACTATTGCTTTTATCGCTAAAAAATTTTGGGTCTGGAGGTGATGTTCAGAGAAAATGGCACCAGGTAAATTAGCATTAGCTGATAATATCAGCTAAGAGTGATAAATTTGATAATTATTGAAACTATCGCTTTTATCGCTAAAATTTTTTGGGTCTGGCGCTTTTATCGCTAAAAAATTTTGGGTCTGGAGGTGATGTTCAGAGAAAATGGCACTAGGTAAATTAGCATTAGCTGATAATATCAGCTAAAAGTGATAAATTTGATAATTATCAAAACTATCACTTTTATAGCTAAAAAATTTGGGTCTGGAGCTTTTATTGCTAAAAAATTTTGGGTCTGGAGGTGATGTTCAGAGAAAATGGCACCAGGTAAATTAGCTATTATCAGCTAAAAGTGATAAATTTGATAATTATCAAAACTATCGTTTTTATCGCTAAAATTTTTTTCGGTCTGGCGCTTTTATCGCTAAAAAATTTTGGGTCTGGAGGTGATGTTCAGAGAAAATGGCACCAGGCAAATTAGCATTAGCTGATAATATCAGCTAAAAGTGATAAATTTGATAATTAACTATCGCTTTTATCGCTAAAAAATTTTGGGTCTGGAGCTTTCATCGCTAAAGAATTTTGGGTCTAGAGGTGATTTTCAGAGAAAATGGCACTAGGTGAATTAGCATTAGCTGATAATATCAGCTAAAAGTGATAAATTTGATAATTATCAAAACTATCGCTTTTATCGCTAAAAAAATGTTGGGTCTGGAGTCAATGTTACGAAGAAAAGGCCATAAGTGAAATTAGCATTAGCTGATATTATCAGCTAAAATTGATAATTATCAAATTTATCTGATATTATCAGCTAATGCTAACTTCATGTCTGCCATGTATCAAAATTATCAAATTTATCAATAATTGATATTTATCAAATTTATCCCTAATTGATAAAATTTATCGATAATTGATAATTATCAAATTTATCGCTAATTGATAAAAGTGAAAGGCACATATGAAATTAGCATTAGCTGATAATATCCGCTAAAATTGATAATTATCAAATTTATCGCTAATTGATAAAAATTATCGATAAATGATAGTTATCAAATTTATCGCTAATTGATAAAAGTGAAAGGCACATATGAAATTAGCATTAGCTGATAATATCAGCTAAAATTCATATTTATCAAATTTATCGCTAATTGATAAAAATTATCGATAAATGATAATTATCAAATTTATCGCTAATTGATAAAAATGAGTTTCCGCACCTAAATTGACATATTGGACAGAATATTTTCATATAAATCATTGAATTATTCATGTGCTGATAATAATGGCCCACTCATTAATCCTCATTATTATTCAATTGGGAATTGAAGTTCCCGGAAAAATTAAACTCAACCCTTCTTTCTTCAATGATCTGTATCTTGAGGCTTTTTATTACCATTATATCATATCATTTGGATTCTTACCTCCTGGGGCTTCCAATTCCAGGTTTTGTTGAGAACTATTGGAGTCCCTGGACTTGAACTCACATGGCCCATATGGTACATCATATCCTTTCCTTTTAACTTCATAGGAATTTCTGTCAAAAGTCTCATTTGAGCCTGTTGGTGTTGGAGCAATCAAAGGATACATGTCAAATCTTTTCTTCCAATTTGGACTGCTACTTGGAGAGTGTTGTGGGGAGTTTCCCTTTATAATTCTCCATGCAGAATGTCCCTGTTCTGCAATGTGTAAATCCCTAGTGGCACTTGGTCCATGTTCTGCAATGTGTAAACCCCGAATGCTATTTGGTGGTGAATGGAGCTGCTGATATATGTGAGAACCTGGACCAGGTTGAAAATGATCAAGATGATCTGACTGACCCCGTGGATCGAAATTAGGTGATCTCTTCGATTCTCTAATATGTTGCACCTGTAAATCTAATTCAATGTTTCTGTCTCTGAGATCGCCATCTCCAGGTCCATAATCTGACCTCTGTCCTGGGGATAATGCCAATGGTGACCTTCGACAACTGAGATCTATGCCTGGGGAATGTATTGATGAACTGGAGTGCCTCCTAAGTGGAATATACAGAGCGGGGGGTTTATCTGAATTTTGACGAATCGGAGGTGAGATTAATGTATTGTGAATGATGCCCCTCTGGGCCAACATTGGAGAATTAGGGCTGGATGGTAGCCTCAAAGGTGGTGAGAGGAGCTCTGGAAAACAAAGACAAAATACACTGAGATATCACATTCTCTCTTATAGACTCCAATAAACCTACAACCTACTTTTTATAATTATATAGCAGATTGTATATATTTTTATCAATATTATTTCCAATTCAATTTAATTATTTCTATTTACATTTTTCCACATACAAAACCATATCAAAATAATGGCAAATTGGGCACACAACCAAGCATTGTGAAAAATGTGAAGAGCAAAAAAATACTAAAACATGTAAACAAGATAACATATCTTGATCTGCTTAGAATGTCAAAATAAACCTAATCTACTATGAAATTATTCAATATTCATTCATTAGAAAGCCTATTAGAGGTATTTAAATAAGATATATCATGCAAGACATTGTAAACCTTTTCCAGAATGAGGAATTATTATATAGATTTTCAAATATGGATGTGATAGGTTAACTTCCAACGATAACACGGTTTGTTTATATCATTTTTGGGCGGAGTTGGTCTGAAAGAGGAAGGTAAATTTCCAAGAAAGACCAGATACTAGAGGACACATGGCACACTTCCAAATGTCATGACATACCCAAATATGGATGACATACCCAAATATAGAGTAACCCTGGGCCAAATTCCTTTCCTCTTTCCTCTGAGCAGAACCAGTCTTTAGTTTTTATGGCAATGAAAGAGTCTAAATAGAAAATTAAACTGTTTGGTCCTAACACCAATATTGTTATGTTACCTGGTGGCCTGAAGATATGTCTGGGTGGCATGCTAGATAATGGTGAGTGTGCAGAATTGGGAGTGAGACCTTGCACCTCTGAAAATACAAGACAAATAATAAGAAAAATGCATGATTCCTCCAGTACCATTAAGATTTACCTTATATTCCATACTTACTGAAGTTCACAACAAGCGAAAATATATAGTGTATCTAGAGACCTTTTGTCAAGGTCCAGGATCAGGATTGAAAATGCATACTTTAAGTATGTTTTTGAATTTTGGAACTTTATGAGGTATAATGTACCTAGAACCTTAGTAGGTATGGACTACATCTGGACCCTTGGGATAAACCCTGTATCTAAAACCTCCTAGTACATAATTCTTATATATCCAAAATCTCTCATTACGTAACACTTAGACAGTTCTGTTTCTTACCAAGAGGAAATGAGGTATTCCAAAAAAGTTTCATGTTCATGCAAGATAAGAAATGCAACAGAGGGAGGGGGGTAAGAAAGGGGGTAGAGGTGTTTCTAGTGTTATCTAAAAAGGAAATTGTAAAGAATGCATTTCTTTGCTTTTAAAAAGTTAAGTGAATGTCAAAGCCTCGTAGTAATGATACACCCTTGGGGAAATTCATGAAAAAGGAAGATTTTGAAAAAAAATCAAGGAAAATTCTCACAGAGGTGACTGCCTTTATGTAAGTACTACCCTGTTCATTTTTTCTTAAAATGTCTCTTCCCTAATCAGCTTAGTTCCTCGTATAGATAAACTCGGTCCTAAAGTCATGATTTAGTATATATGATAAATGACTATTGTAATCTCTATATACCTAATTGCAGACTTTTCTAAGTTACAGTATATATTAATACTTTATACGAATACTAAAAAACACCACTTGAATTCAATCAGTTATTGGTAATTTAAAATTAAGTCACCATTTAACATACAGTGTAGTGACATATATAATATTGCACATACAATACAATATTATTATAAACTATTCAACATTAATACTCCCCTCCAAAAGTTTGACAACAGCAACTCCTTTATAAGTCCACCCTGTTTATATTTTAAAACCATAAAATCATCATACTCAATTTTCATGAATCTGGATTACTGTGATAACTCAGATGCGAGTAGGTAGTAACCATTTTCACCACCAGGTGGCTCATTCGGGTCAGATAGCATGGCGGGTATAGTAGAAAGTTCCCTTAACTTAAATATTTATCAGTTTAAGTGGTTCAATTTTCATATCACCCATTATGTATCTAATAGTTATGCAAATTGAAATATGTCCAGTAAAAGAAAATGTTATCTGTTCAATACAAGAAAAGATATTTCACTTTTTGTGATTTTATAACATGGGGTCTATGGGGAATCTCCCCAAACTAGAAGTCACATTTTCAAATAAAAATTAAATTTTCAAAGTTGTTGAACAAAACCATGTTATAAGATGTAAGTTTACATGTAGATTTCAAATATGACATCACTTAAACTGAATTTCGAATATTTAATGAATCAAGATTACTTCTCCTTGAATCTATGACATAGAGACTCAGGGGAGTGTACTAAAATAAAGTGTGAATAATAATCATGTAAATCAGATTTTCAAACTGAAAGACGAATGGACTCAACAAGGAAGAAAGTATACAAATATGTACTGGGCATTTTAAACTGTAAAGATATCCTGAAAATTTAGGGAATTTCATCAAATTAATGCATCGTAATATTGCAAGTCCACCAAATTAAGTAACACCAAATGTTCAAAACAGCAAATCCGCCAAAATAAGTAGCATCAAATAAAGAAGAAGTACAGAACTGTAAATAAATAAACATACACTCCTGAAAATTCTTAGCTAATCTTATCAGACAAAGTAAACATGATCAAGTAAGAGTAATAAAGATTAAATTTTATCACTGAAATCCAATTTTTAATAAGGATTATCACATTTTAACAACTTGTCAAATTTTGGTGTAAAAATACTAAATGGAACTGGAGATGTTGTCATTTCATTGATGGATATCGATAAAAATAATGGTGCTAAAAGGAGCCTATCATCCTGAGAGGTATCATCTTGAGAGGGTTAAAATTAGTCAAAAATAGAAAAATCCATAGAAAGCAGTATATTGTTGTAAATTGAAATTCAGTTTAAAACAAGGGGTCATGAAATACATACATGTATATTCACACTGGAGAAAACAACAAGCTATATTAAACTACCAATATGCAAAATGTCATAACATTTTTGAGAGTTTTTTTTGAACTAATAATTATATTAAAATCTGCCCCTCTTTGGCAGATCTACTATGTTGATTTCAAAGTTTTTACCTCAAAATGAATGCATTTTGAACCTAGATAAGCTAAAATACATAGTACTATTTAGTGCATTTCATGTTGCCACCAAGTGACATCTCCATGTTATTTTTAATGTGATTTTCTAAGAATGGCATATAAAATGAATTATATGACTTCCCCATATTGCAAAAACACTAAATAGTAGCTGAGACAACACAAGTCCGAAGTCTGTATATTTACTCTCATTTCTTCACTTTTAAGAGTTAAGTCACCACATTTTGCATGCACATTCCTTGGAGAAATTCTGACATAGAATTTCATTGGTTTTGATTATAATTTATTTGTTAAAAATAGGGAAACATTTGATTTTGATTGACCTATAACCAAAATTTGTACCATTTTGTAACAGACGAAATTAATAAAAGTCTCTACTTTTGGTGTGATAACTCCAAAATGACCGAATGTTTTCTTATTCAGCACAAATGTAACAGTGTTAGGTAGTTGAGACATTTCCGAGAAAAATGGCATGCAGAACCATGATAATTTAAACAAGAACACAAATGTGTACAAAATGTCCCCACCAATGGGTGATCCCATCAAATGGTTATCCTGAAAATGAGTAGACAATGGCTGCCTTGACATTTACCCAGAATGTCAAAAAACTAATCTGTTCCTAGATTTTCATACTAAGAATCATCCCTGAAAATATGACATTGATCTACCAAATGGTTCACCTGAAAACGCGTAGACAAGACTTTACAGACAAGATTTTAGGACAGAAAATCCAAAATGGCTGCCTTGACATTTACACAGAATGCCAAAAAACTAATCAGATATAGATTTTCACACTAAGAATCATCCTTGAAATTTTGAAATTGATCTACAGAACGGTTCACCTGGAAATGCATAGACAAGACTTTACAGACAAGATTTTAGGAGAGAAAATCCAAAATGGCTGCCTTGACATTTGCCAAGAATGCCAAAAAACTAATCAGTTCTACATTTTCATACTAAGAATCATCTCTGAAAATTTGAAATTGATCTACCAAACGGTTCACCTAAAAACGCGTAGACAAGACTTAACAGGCAAGATTTTAAGACGGAAAATCCAAAATGGCTGCCTTGACATTTATCCAGAATGCCAAAAAACTAATCAGATCTAGATTTTCATACTAAAAATCATCCCTAAAAATTTGAAATTGATCTGCAGAACGGTTCACCTGGAAATGCATAGACAAGACTTTACAGACAAGATTTTAGGACAGAAAATCCAAAATGGCTGCCTTGACATTTGCCAAGAATGCCAAAAAACTAATCAGTTCTACATTTTCATACTAAGAATCATCTCTGAAAATTTGAAATTGATCTACCAAACGGTTCACCTGAAAACGCGTAGACAAGACTTTACAGACAAGATTTTAGGACGGAAATCCAAAATGGCTGCCTTGACATTTACCCAGAATGCCAAAAAACAAATCAGATCTAGATTTTTATACTAAGAATCATCCCTGAAAATTTGAAATTGATCCACCAAACGGTTCACCTGAAAACAAGTAGACAAGACTTCACAGACAAGATTTTAGAACGGAAAATCCAAAATGGCCGACAATAAAAAAGTGATTATGTGTTTTTGCTGATTTCTTCTTACAAAATTATCACATATAACTACTGTTAACAATAACATAGGCTTTTACAACAAAGTACATCTGAAATTATTTATAAAGCTACTAAATAGTTAAAGTATGAAAACTCAAAAACACCATTCAATATGATACAAAGTATTATCGTGCGCTAACTTTTCTTAAGACATTCAAAATGGCTGACATGACTGAGCTAACAGGTCCAAAACCTAATCAGATCTAGAATGAAGTGAGCTGAACAAGATGTTAAAGTTTTAAAAGCAACTGTGAAGCCGTTTTTCTTAAAGTTTGCAGACAAGGATTTTAGCATTTGACTTCAAAATGGCCGACAGGAAGTAGGTATCGAGTTAAAATTTTTCATCCACATCTGTATGCACTCATAAGTTATCCCTGAAAATTTGAAGGTGATATCTGTAGCGGTTTTGGAGAAAACTCCCGGACGTACGGACAGACGGACGGACGGACGGATGGACAGACGGACGGACGGACAGACGGACGCGCCTAGGCCGACAATATGGCCCCACATACAATATGGCCCCACACTATGTGGTGGGGACATAATAAAACGGGGCCAAAAACAACCTATAAAGATGCCTGCATTATTTGAGATTTTGGCATGTTTCAATGGTCTGAAAAATGGATGGGGTAGGGGAGTGGCATACCTTTTGAGCTTATTCCAGTTACCATTTTAATCAAATGAATGATGACATATTTGGTATCATCTTAAAGCTTGTAATGTGTTCTTCAATTTGGTACCCATATTATGACATCAAATCATATATTATGACATCACAGTGGTACCAAAATGACCTTAAATGGAAAAAGAAGCACTAAAATGCAGCAAAATAATGGTGCGACTCCAACATTCTTTTGAAAATCCACAACTTGCTACAATCAATGAATGCATTTCTCATTGAGGTACACTTCCAATGCACGATCTGATGACTGGCAAAAAATAACTAGTGATAGTTATTGTCAATAAGATTTGAGACACCATATTGTATCTGTCATTTATAACTTGGAGTTTTATTAATAACATCAAAATGTTGCATTTGTTGCACAAAATGGAAAATTTTGATTATAGACCAATCAAAATCAAATGTTTCCCTATATTTAACAAATAAATTATAATCAAAACCAATAAAATTCTATGTGAGGATT